TGCTCCGACGCAACGCTGCTCCGATGGTCCCTGGACAAGACCGTTTGCCCACAAGAGGCTGGCTTGTTAAATGGAATATGCCCCTGCGACCCTTGCGAACCCTTCCAATATGAATACACTCGAATCTCGTTAATTCGAACACGCTTAATTCGAACTTTCAATTTATTCGAACTGACACTGTGGTCCGGACTGCACTATATGTATTTCAATGGGCGAAAACGCCCGCGCCGGTTAATTCGAACATTCCGCGCCGCCGAGCATGCCTTCAGGAGCGGGCTAACTCACGCGGCAGCGCTTCCAACTTCTCCAGTTCCAAATAAACATGACAACCAATCACGTGGTGACCTTGAATGCTGCGATGAGCGGTACGGTGCTCTCTTGCACGGTGACGGTACCCGCTGCTCTTGAGTGCGTTTTCGGCAGGAGTGCGACAGTTCCGTTTACACTCGCGCGTTGCTGCGGTTCGACATGTTTTCTGTGGGCGCTCGACTGAAGATTGCTGAGCTGCTGCTCTTTGGCGTGTTTTCAGCGGGAGTGCGACAGTTCTGTTTCTTGCTTTGCATTCACACGTTGCTGCGGTTCGGCGTGTTTTCGGTGGGCGCGCGACTGACATTATCTCGATTCCAAGTGTCATGGCCTCGAGACGAAGGTAAAGATACTGCAAGAAGTTGACCAAGGCGCACTTTCCAAGGCAGAAATAGGAAAGAGACACAGCATTACGAAGAGCACTCGTAGCGCTGAACACCACCGTGCGCTACTTTTCTTGCCAGAAGAATGTGGATGCGGCGTTAGAGCTGGTCTCCAAGCGATCTTTGTTGATTCACGACTGAGGAACCGTGCACAGGCATGCATCACAGATTACTTCCCTTTGTGATCGGTGAAAATAAATGTCCTGGAACTCGTCACTCATGCGCTCGCTCAGTGCACATGCGCCGCCCAACGCAGCGCTGCACGTAAGTACTCCATTTAATGAGCTTTCGTTAATTCCAACTTCGTTTAATTCGAACAAATTTTCGGTCCCCCTCGAGTTCGAATTAACCAAGATTTGACTGTAGTTTGATCGATGACCTCAATTTTAGATTAAGAGATCAATCTCTCACGCACTCGTTTTTCGAGGCAGCGGCAACAAATGCTAACGCCGAAAAAAAACTTTACTCCGTTCTATCTCCTTGTTTTGTGTGATATAGAGCTAAAATAAACACCGTATAGATTTCCTTCACAACATATGGTACGTACACTGTGCGATGCCGGTCCAACCTTTCTTTGTGGAGTGTCATGTCAGCATCGAAATGCAATCGTAAAAGATCAGTCCCGAAGTGCTTACCAAGATGCGGTTTAACAGCGTGAATCCAGCGCTTGGACTGATTAAATGCGCGCGTTTGCTCTCGAGAGTGAATAGTTACCATTTACCTGACACTCGCTGACACTCTGCTAGTTCAAATGTATCTTCTTGAACATTAAAGGGATTGTCCGGTCGAAATTGGAAGTACTTAAGTTTTTTCGCTCGTTACGTCGAGGGTGCCTTCATGTAGACAAACGTCATTTTTATTTTGATATATGATCTCCCATCATTAACTAAACCTTTCATGAGCGTATGTACGAAACTGCACCCCGAATTTCGCCAGTGTCAATGGCTGACATCCGTAGGTGCTACGTGACGTCACAAAACGCAAAGGTTTGTCGGATAGTCGGGATAACAAGCGTTGGTCGATGGATGTCTTGTATTTTGTTTCGAATTATATAGTCTCCTAGGCCAGTGGTTCTCAAATGGGGGTCCGTGAAGCCCAGCCTCATCAGTCAAGCCCGGCAATCAAAGTTTGTCTTTTTTTTTTTGCTGGTCGAAAAGAAATGTTTCAGTTTTGAGGCAAGTTTTTTTGGTTTTTTTTTCGCGTGAACGCCAATAAGAGAGGTCTACTTTACACTAGCCCTTAATTATATCCAGTTATTAAATCATTATTATATTTAACCTATACCTTTCCTCTCCTCTCACCACGAACGGGATCCTCCATCATCTCCGCCGATCCACAAGGGGTCCGCGAAACATCAATGGTTGAGAACCACCGTCCTTGGCTGTACCCTACTGAAATATGGTTCTTTTAATGCAGTTTCCAAGCGTGTGCAAAAAAAAGTCACGCCTTTTAGCAGGATATTACTCGCAAACAGCCATAAGCTTCGAGCAAACGTATGCCGTTTCATGCAAACACAACTGCGACGGCCACCAATCGAATTAGAAGCACTTGCAAAGCAAAGGATGCAGATTTCGCCTCTGAAGCGGCAACTAGGTACACGAAGTGGTATCTGGGTAAACATATTGGCCGATCCTCTGGATCGGTGATGAGGGTGCGGGTCGTGCCCTCAGAGGCAATGACCGCAAGTCGCAGGCAAACGGCGAATCGTTCAAATAAGGTATGTCGCCACTTGACTTGTACGAGATTGGTGAATCGTAGCCACGCCCTATTTGCACATGCGGGTCAAACAGAATTTGGCTGCACGCGTGCTAAATACAAGTTCTGGTATCGTTTCCAGGTGGTTTAGCTGTTGGTTTAGGTTTCGCTGCATAGACAAATTGATTGATCCGATTTGGGCGAAGAGTGGATGGACATAGTTTAATATCGTCGGCACAGCATCACACCTCAGCTTACGAGCCTTCTGTCCGCTTAGAGCTCAGCTCGTAGCTCTCTCCTGTGAGATGATTGCCGCATAAGCGGGATCTCGATCTTGACGGGAACCCAGTCCCCACGCACGGCGACGATCCATTTTGCTCGTCACTGCACGTCTCGCGGAAAAGTGTGGAACGTCATGTCTTGGCTCGCATGTGCTGCCCGGTGGTTGTGGCACCCAACCGCGCAACAAAAATCTCATTCAATCACGAAACAAGTCGAGCACAACAACAAAAACGAAGCACGCTGAGGCATTCGCTCGCAGGTAACGACGAGACAGAAATACTTGGAAATACTCGCTTTGTGTTGTGTGACGTCAGAGCTCCAATGTTGCCACCAAAAGCAGCGTTTACGCTAGAGTGCGATTGGAGCAGTATAAATTCAATTACTCATGCAGAGGGGCATATAAAATTCAGATATTGCACGTACGATGCGTCTCGAGGCAATAACAATGATATTCAATTGTTTTCTCGAATACAAAATTTGACCGGACAATCCCTTTAACTCGCTCCTGCAACTCTGAGGCCGCGAAAAACGCCGTGGCGATTTGTTTCTATCAGGGTGTCGAACCGGAACCGAACCGAACCGAAAACCAAAACCGAACCGGTATTTTTTCCGGAACTGAACCCGAACCCAAACCGTTATATTGCTATCGCGATGAACCCGAGCCGGAACTGAACCGGAAAAAAAATAACGGTTACCGGCTCATGTCAAAACGGTTCGGCCACGCGCTGTTGACAATGAATGTGCTATCAATGCCATTTGTTTTTTAAGTGCCGTCAACTGACACACACCTCGCTTACATATTTTTCTTCTCCACTCAGTGTTAGGAATATAAACGCTGCATCCATGAATCTCGACAAACGCTGCATCCATGAATCTTGACATAGAAACCAGTATTGCGCTGGTTGCGGCTTGCACGGAAAAAAGAGAATTGGAAGGCTGTGCAAAAAAAAAAAATTGCATCACGGGATTTCATTTTCCTACAATCTCGTAAATCCTAAATGCTGCTGTGTGCTCAATTCCTAACACGTTTCTAGAACGCACGAGTTCTTGAAGCTTGCTTCCATCGGAATGAGAAAAGATAATAATGCATCCGATTTCGTATAGGCACTTAGAAGCTATACATATTTGTGAGACAGCAAACTCTTCTATTTTAATATTTCTCCTATTACGTCCTTCTGGCGTTGCATTCAGTGAAGTGTTTTTCATATTCCGTATCTTGTTTAATGAAAACTTCTTTAAGGGTCTAATTTGAGTTACCGAAGGCTAGTTCAAATAAAGCAAGCTGTATTTTCTCCCCACTGTTCCTTCAATTGCTTACACGCCGAGGTGGCGGGATAGTTAGCGAGTTCTATTTGTAAGTGGGTTTGTAAGGAGGTCGCGGATTTTACAGCTATTGCGTCGGACCCAATTAGATGAAGTCTGAATGCGTAAACGTCGGTGAGGTAACCTTTGAGTGCACATAAAGAAACCATTCCTGGTAGAAATCCCGGAGCCTTACACTATGATGTATCCCGTTTTGTATGTAGTGATTTCAGATGTTTTATTTGTAATTTATTTTGATGTTGCAATTTGTCATTTATAATTTCCAAACCGGTTCGCGAACCGGTTCAGCGCCCCGAACCGGTTCGCGGATCGAATTAATCGAACCGGAACTGAACCGGAACAAAATTAATTTACCTGAACCTGAACCGTAACCGAACCCGTATTTTTTTCGGTTCGACACACTGGTTTCTATCTACGCTGCTTTCCAAATGACCAGTGCGGACTGCCTTTTTTAGCAACGACGACAGTTGCGTTGACTTCGTAGCGATCGAGTTCGTAGCAGTCGACGAAGGTGGTCCTCCCGGTCTCGGCATTTGGGCCAGTTTAAATCGCATTAGCGTTGACATTTCACTGCACAAACACGAACCCCAGACAAGCGTTGGAGAAAAGGCCGCCTGCGTTTGTTATTCTAAATCTATGAGCTCCAAACAGTGCCAAGCTCTCCGATTGGTTGTTTGCACTGCCAAGGACGCCGTCGCTATAGCAACAGCCCGCTCTCGTGGGGGATCGGGAGCTTGCGGGACACCGGAAGTTCTAGCTTTTCCGTACGAGAATGTCCCTTTCCTTCTCTCCCTTAATAACACGTTCGTGAGTACTGATTTCTCCTCTTCTTACGATGTTCTTAACTTACAAACTCCTTAGCTAGGCTGTCGTAACCCAAGAAGCTCTTCGTAAATCTGGCCTCCTGGATGGGGACGCGGTAAACGCACCGGTTAGAGACTCCCTCGGGGCACCCTATGCCGGGAGTGACTGAGGCGAGATCTGAGACGTGAGCGAAAAGAAGGGGCTCACCGTCGAGCCCGCGCCGGTAGGACTCTGCGGCAGGTAGGGAGCAGCCAGGCGATCCAGGTGGCACATCACAACCATAGCGCACTGCTGAAGGTCCACCGAGAGGGATTCGTCCTCCGGCAGGGTCAGGAGGCTGAGCAGGCACTCCGTGGGACTGACCACGGGAACCCCCTCCTGCGAACACAGACACAGCAGAAGCGTCGAGGGTAGGCGAAGCGGAAACGGGACTATACAGTACAGACCACTTACAACGTAACCGCTTATAGTGCAGGACCGGGTATAACGTGGTTTTTTTAAACCACCGGTTCACCTCCCATAGAACTCCATGTAATTACATACCACTTAAAATGCAGGCGCGCGAAGGGAAATACCGGTTATAGTGCGGTTTCTGGAACAGCCCACCGAGCCGAAGGCCGAAGCAGCGAGCACGCTTCGCTGTGCGACACTAGATAACGGCGCGAGCCGCAACAACACCATCGCGGGGCAAGGAGGTTGCTCGAAGAAGCGGGGAGAAGCGAAGAGAGAGGCTTCAGTTGCCATAGCGACGGAGGGGTGTGTGCGTACCTCCGCTGCGTTGGAAAACAACCGCAACGACAGACCAATCACAAGTCGAGGAGCAGTGTTCGCGCGCGTTGCATGCCGGTCGCAGGCCGGCTCCGCAAACATGGCGTCGGTTGTGATCGTCGTCGTAGACGGCCTGGTGGAAGCTCATCGTTCCGCGTAAAAGCGCTATCCTTGACTGAATCTTTGTTGTGTGTTGCTATGATAACGCAGCACGTACTAGAAGGAAAGATCCACCTACTCGTGCGGCAATGTCGTGGCGGCGCTCTTAAAGGACACATGCAAAGAAAAAAAAAATTTTTTTTTAAACGGCTTAGATGGAAAAAGGACGCCATAAAACAATTTTACAACGAAGAAAAAAAATTTTTAGAGCTATATTTACGGCGCAAAACGAATTGTAGTTGGCGCCCGCGGGCACCGCGGAAAAGTGGTCCGTATTTATCACATGACTGGTCCTTATTTATCACGTGGTGCTTGCGCTCTTTCGGAAGCTTCCTATGGCCTCTAAAAGTAACTTATTCATCTTTGTTTGAAGTATAACAAAAAACCAAGACGAATAAGTAACTTTTAGAGCCCAAAGGAAACTCCTGAAAAAGCGCAAGCAGACGTGATAGACCTGTGCGCCGGTCAGACGACGGCGGTGCCCCGAAGCAGACGAACTTGTGCAGCGGCGACGACGGCGGCGTGAAGAAACGCGTTGAAGCGGCGTTCGCACAATGCTCAGCGTGCGGCGGCGACGCAGCGCGGCGGCGCGCGGGCCTACCACGTGACCAGCGGCGGCTCCCGCAAGCGCCAACTACAAATTCGTATAGCGCCGTAAATACAGCTCTAAAAAATTTGTTTCTTCGTAGTAAAATTGTTTTATGACATCCTTTTTCCATCTAAGCTGTCTAAAAAAAATGTTTTTTTCCTTTGCATGTGTCCTTTAAGACGGCAGAAACGCCCGTGTCGTCGTGTTTGTTTACTTCGACTACAGTGGTGCTTTCTAAACATTTGTGTCCTCGAACATCGCCCGGATTTCTTATTTGGCGCATTTCATGCGTGTGCTCAAGTTGAAGGTATTACTGGCGCGTACTGTATGAAGGATGCGAATTTTCACGCGTTTTCATCACCGCAGAAAAGTGATTAGGGTTAACAATCCTGAACGCTCGCAACGTCCGTCCGCAACCGGCAACGCCGTTAAAAGGCTGTGCCAGAGAAAAGGCGCTCATTTCTTTCAAAATGCGTAACACACTTGAGAGAGAAGTGTACAGTCGAACCCGTTTATAACGAACCCGGTTAGAACGAATTATGGTCTATATCGAACACACAAAATTTTAAGATCAATATTCATGAGAAATATACCTTCTATAACGAACAACACATCGGATATATCGAACTGCGAGCGCCCGCTACCGCCCCCGTGGAGACGCGCGGGCTTCCCTGCAATGCACAGAGTGACAGAGGACAAGAGAAAACCAAGAAAAACACGATGGCCCTTGAGAAGATGAGTCACAAAACCGACTGCGAACGCCCGCAACCGACCCCCGCGGAAGCGCGCTGGCTTCCCTGCCATGCACGGAGCGACAGAGGACAAGCGAAAACCAAGAAAAACACGATGACCCTTGAGAAGATGAGTCGCAACACCGACTGCGAACGCCCGCAACCGGCCCCCGCGGAAGCGCGCTGGCCAATGATAGAGCAAGCGTGCAATGACGTTCTGATGACATCATCCTGCAGCCGTACCAGGCCGGACATGGCTCTCTTGTTCCTAGCGTTTTGCCGAGGAGGCTCGTTGTTCTTTGTGTCCTTCCTGTTCCCGCAAGAGATGGCGACCAAGGTGCGTTCATCGTTACCGTTCTCTACCAAGTTGGAAATAATCCGGCGCGTTGAACGCGGCGAGAAGTCAGAAGTCGCCGCGTCCTTCAAGATCGCCAGAAGCACGCTGAGTACGATACTGAAAAACAAGCCAGCGATCCTGCAAAAGGCCCGAGATCGATCGACCGACCGAATATGTTTCAATATTGAAATTTATTGATAGAAATATAAATACATATGTTCCATCATGAAAGCTGCCTCGCGATAACACGGCTCTGAGCGCCGGCGTGAGGCTCGCTACGCTCGGCAGCCTTCGCCGCTATTCCGCGCGGTTTCCTTTCATCTCTCTCGCTTTTGCTGTCCTCACGAAATAGCGATATTTGCTATAACGAACTACTTGATATATCGAACTAAAATGCGTGTCCGATGGAGTTCGTTATAAACGGGTTCGACTGTACTAGTCTGGTGAAATAAAGACTTTCCTCAAACTAAGCTTTATTTTTCATCTAACAGAAAATAAATTCTTTTACAAAGGTAAGTTGTCTGATGGCATGTATTTTGGCCCGATTTTGGTTATAGCGTGGTACCGCTTATAGTGCGGATTTTCGCGACTCCCGCGACATACGTTATATGCGGTCTACACTGTAGTCGCCAATAGGATGGGAACGGCGGGGAAGCTCTTTGGCTGACGCGTGTTTGGTGCCAGCTTCCTACCATCCCATCCCAAAGAGAAGTCCTCCTAACGTTCTTGTCTTGTTGGCGACTGTAACAAGATGCAGTCCACAGTGCGAGCAAGATCGTCTGCTCCTTTCAAGGAGGAGTGCGGCGTTGCCACGATATTGAGTTCCTATTGGAGGACGGCCACGTAGTGGTAGGCGTGCATAAACAGCTTCGTCTGCTAGTCGTAGCAACGAATGCCTCGCCTTTTTGGCGACTGTTGGAAATCTATTACTTTTTTAATGAATGACGACGAGATGTTCGAAGAAGGGGATAGAAAATACCTCGAAGGGTAAGTCATTTTTGTCGACAAAAATCTACCAATGGCGCTACGATAAACAACCAGCTCGTGGCCAAGATGTTGTTTGTTGACTAAAATGAATGTCGTAATCCATCCCTCCCACTTCTCTAAAGATATTTTCGTGCCTCCTTTCCTGTGCGAAAAGAGACGTATTTCGGCCAACTTAGCAGCATAGCGTAAAATTCCGCAAGGGCACTCTCCCCCGAAAGATTGCACATCCCGTTTTTCTGGCTAAATATCCGTAACATAAAAATTCTGAAACATCGCCCATCCCGATTCTCGTCGCACATCACACAATGTCTGACGGGAATCACATCAACCACGCCATCTGCGGTGTTGGCATATGTGACGAGCGAGTTTGTTGCGGGTTCCCATGTCTTTCTCTGCAATTTGAGCGCGCAATATCGGTTCCCGTGACATACCAGTTCGTAGCGAGTTCTAGTGTTTCTGTCTACAATCTGCAATATCGGTTCCCGTGGCACATAAGTTTGTAGCTGGTTTCCACGTGTTTATCGCACCATAAAACATGAATCTGCTGCATCCACAGTCTGCAGTATCCTTTCCCGTAACTCAGGACTTCATACCGAATTTCCGCGTCGCATTATGAAATTGTGTCTGATCCCCAAAGATAGCCCACCTCATGTTTTTCACCATTTATCTCTTCACTTTGGGTGGGTGCAGCTACGGGATTTTACGGTAGTGTACTTAGTGTAATAGTTGCCCTAAGTACCCATTAATTCGTACATGGTGCTCGAGAAAAACACAGTTTGTACAATGGTTCTCCAAGAACCACACTCTTGTCTGCTTAAAAACACATCCACTCTAACTGTCCTTTCCAAATGCTCCAAAAGTATGTTTCTTTCTCGGTGCAGGTTGCCAAGAAAAACGATTTCAAGACAGCCCTGTCAGTTAGGATCACTCACATCGGTCAGAGTACAGCCTTCTCCTGGCTTTTGTCGCAGGCAGCCGATGTCTTGGAATCTTCTCAGCAGTGTCACCAGGGGCACGCTGGTTCCGTGAGAGACTGTCCTGTAAAATCAAAAGGGGAGAAATTGGCATTCCCTCGCTCAATTTACTTTTCCTTTGCCAGAACTAGTGCATTATACTACACCAATAGCAATCAACAATTTTGTCATTGGAACCAGGAACGAGTTATCACACACAAACGGAAAAACTGTTTGGACATTTATAAGTCACTCAGATTGAAGTGAGCCAAAACTTTGAATATAATTTTTTTGACCGATGCTTTGCGGCGCTCCGTGATTTCACAAAGGCACATGTATCCCTGGCTTCGTGCTCGCGGAGCTAGTTGGGAGAGAAAACTCGCCTCCTAACCTGTGCTTGCCCTTTGGATTGGGCGGCAACTTGCACCACCTAGTCAGTGTATTTTTTTTCTAACATTTATATAACATAAAGGTATATATCTAGAGATTTATTCTTAAAAGCTACAATCGGTACAACGGACGTGCCTCTATGCAACTGGGTAAACACACCTTCTGCCCTAAGGGTCGCCTCGAAAGAAATAATAAAATCATAATTCTTTCCTCGACCTACGCCACCAGTCAGATAATCTCTTCTTGGTTATCTCCACCTTCCCGACGTCTATTTTTCCCCAACTATCCCTAAACCTCGGTGCATTTGTTAAATTAGTCCCTGTTCAGCTACTGCAGGGTGAAGCCCCTTAGAGTAAAGTAACAACTGCTCAGCCGTCTCCTCCTCCTCTCCACAAGCTCCACACGCCGTATTTACTTCCTGATATCTAGCTCTATATGTTTTAGTCTGCAACGCTCCAACCCTCGCCTCAAACAACAAGGAGCTCCCTCTAGAATTGTCAAAGATGGGCTCCTTAGTAATGTCCTTCTTAAACAATCTCTAAAATTTCCAAGGCCGATTTAGTCTGCATGCCTGCTTCCCATATTTCCCTCTCAATATCTTCAACTTTCTTTTTAACTTTGATGTTCTCATCTGCCTCCCTACTATTGCTCATATATATAGATCCAATTTATCTAGTTCGCTTTCTCCCTTTTGTATCGACACTTGTCATCTGTAAATAGCTAAGAACCCTTTGTGCCCATTGTTCTGTACCTATTTCTCAAATTCCGTCTTGCTGCTAGCTTTCCTGCCCTCGAATGAGGACCATCCCCCGCCGCCTTGTACGCCTTGGTTCGGTGTTTTATTACCGTGTGCCCCGAGAGCCATTTCACCTACTCCACGTTGCTTTATTTCTTGCCTTGTCTGGACGTCCAGTTTTATACACCAAACTGCATTTGTAAAGTCAGGCTCGGAACAATAATTCCTTCTCAGATCTTCCTCACCACCTCATACCTGTTATAGCTCCACAGTGCTCCATCTTTTATTCCAGCTGCATTCCAATTGCCCTCACCAGTTACACATTTTGCAAGTTCATGAAGGTATTCTGTACCCGTTAATCGATACTCCTAGATAATCACATTTATCGATTTGCTTGACCTCTAATACTTCTATCTTTAGCTCCACAATTCTGTCGTCACTGAACTCCATGACCGCTGATTTCTCACTACTGAATTCTAAGCCTAACCTGTGACCCTCTGCACCATATATATTCATTAGGGACTGAAGCTCTATGTTGCTATCGGCCATTAGCACTATATCCTTAGAATACCTACTACATCAGACCTGGCAATGACTGATCTTTTGACCTCGCCTGTCGTATGAAAGGTCAATCCCACAATTGCTTTTTTTTTCCTCTAAGCCTTGGAGATGCAACATGAACAACAATGGCGACAAAGGGCATCCCTGTCTAAGACCCTGTCTTATCTCTATTGGCGTTGCTCTCCTTCCTCCCCATGTTTTTAGTACCATGTTGTCTTTGTAAATATCCCTTAGAAATGTCCATATTCTGTCATCCATATCCACCTAAGCTCCTCATTATGTTCCACAAATTGCCCCGCATGGCATTGTCATAAGCCCCCTTTATCTCTAAGAATGCTCACCAGAGTGGTCTACATTCCTTTCCTGCTACCTCAATACACTACGTTAATAAAAATAAATTGTCCTCCAACCTACTTTCTTTTCGGAACCCATTTTGTAGCTCCCCTGGCACAAATTTCATTTTCTACTCATGCCTGGAATCTCTCCTTGATAACCTGCACTGTCAACCTGTAGACTACAGAAGTTCCTGTCATGGGACGACTCCTACTTATGTCAGCTTTGTACCCCTTTCCCCGTACATTAAACTCATTCTGCTTAGCCTCCACTGTTACGGGCCAGTTCCCCTCATGATAATGCTACTTACTGCTTTCCTTAACACTTCCTTAGATTTGGGTCCTAACTGTCTTATCAACTCTACTGGTATACCATCTGTACCTGTTGATGTATTCGTTGGAATCCTCCATACTGCCCTTTCCCATTTTTTGTCCCATAGCCCCAACTTCAGTACTTGAACTATACTCCACTGGTGAAATACTTCCTACGTATCCTTGCTGCTTGAGCTTCTTTGTCATCATTGTTCCCATATATTCCATTGCCTCGTCGCCTTCAAGCTGATTACGCCCAAGGCATGACAATACACTTCTGCTCCGACTTTGTTTTATGGCTTAGTGAATTCAAGTGGTTTCGAAACTTGCTGGCTGCCTTTCCTTTTATTTACTTTAGACAGCCATTGCAACCCCCTCTCTCAACCTTTTCATTTCACCAGTAGATGGCGCTTCGCCGCTTCCTGGCGGTGACTGGGAGAAAGCTCCTTGCCGATCAGTTATAACGAATGATGAATCGGGGGCTCTGATCTCTTCTCTCTTCCATGGACACCAGCGTGGACTTGGGCAAGGTCGTGCATATATGCTGTATTGATGTGTTTATGCTTATGTGTTTCTCTTATGCGTTGAGTACATAGTCTACGGGTGGGCCCGGTCCTGCCAGCTTGGTCGCGGACCAGGTGCGAGTCGGCTTGCTGGTGGGTGTGTGCAAGATTTCCCACAGCTTTTACTTTCTGACAAATGGCCGAATAGCCTTGCAGAGATATTTCTGTGTAGGCATTGGTAGATTCCGCCTTCTACTATAACTTTAACGAAGATAACAGACATGCTGCCATTAGAATTCAGTCAATGTTTTGAGCTACTTGGGCCTTCTTGAAAAAAAAGTATGCTTTCCAATTCACTCGAGTGCTGTGGACCTGAAGCTTCAAACTGCCAGGTTCTTCGCACATGACCTTACAAACTCCCCTACATGTTTGTGGGACTAAGCCCTGCAAGGATTCCAGTCTCACACCAAATCGACCCTTCACCCAAACCGGGACGTACCTGTTGTCAAGTTCGTACTTCCCGCTGTCCCACAACTGAAGCAGGAGCAGGACGCCGCCGAGGAGGTGGCTGAGGGTGCCCCGCTGAATGGACAGCTCCAGCAAGAGCGACAGCGCCAGCTGCTGATCCGGCACCGGAACTTGCCCGCAGCCGCGAGAGAGGCCGACCCCGACGTTGATGTCTCTGCGTTCCGATAGCCAACAAGCTCAGGGACCCGCACCGAAGAAAATGCACGACGCCAAACATTGGGAAGAATGACACGACTCACTAGGGGTTAAGGTAGGCCACCGTGGTTTTACAAAATAACGCTTTGGCACTGTGGACACATGAAAATAGAGACTACTATAATATAACAGGTTTCTTTGGTCTGCTCTAACCAAAGATTAACAATTATTTTTTTTTCTTCTAAGAATGGAAAATAATCTTTTAAATGACTAAACAGAACTGCAGAACCCAGGGATCCATTCCTGGTTCCCGCTTTCACCGATTTTTATTTGACTGGGCACGGTACCAGGGCACAGCCATGTAATCACTGCTTTGTGATGAACTAAGAAACCCCAAATTATACTTTGTTCAAGTTACTTCCACTAAGCTGTAATGAGTAACAGCTACAAGTTATTGAAAAAAGTTACTAGTTAATGGTAATGCGTTACTAGTAACTAGTTACTGGCCAAAACTCGTATAAACAATGCGCAAAACTTGATTATTTAAAAAAAATATTTTTAATGTGACAATGAGTATAGAAGCTCTCCAGAAAATTTCTTTGATGTCGCGAGGTGCCTGCATACCATTTCAGAGGCTTGCGTACTGCAAGCCCCCGCACACTTTGGACGGGCTCCCCTCCTCGTTACGGTGGAGTGGAAAGAGTGCTAATGGTATGAAGTGATCAATAACCGCCAAGATCGAGAGACCCAATAGACTACTTCCATAAAGCCCTGCATGCAACACGGCGCGCGTTGCACTCTGGGAACTAGTTGGCCAGGGAGGAGAGTGCCATGGTTTCGGTTTCGATCGACACGTCGGCAAGAGGTTATACAGAGAGTGTGCACTATAAACGGCCGTTGTGTTTTCTGGTCCCGAGAGCGTCATTTGTGGTCTCTAAACTGACCTAAATGGCCAGATCTCGAAGCTTTAGCACAAGCCCGAGACGTATAGCTTGTCTTAACGCATATGCTTGTTGTATTTTTCTATTCGAGCCTTTCTGTTAGCGTTTCGAGGTATGTGGACTAGCGAGTGCTGGGAATCTCGACGCTACGAAGCTCGGGGATCTTGCTTGTGTACGAAACGACAAGACACTAGTAAGTATGCACAAATCGAGCTCGCGCCTTTACATTAGTGTTGTTGCGCAATCAGGAAGTTTGTTTGTTTCATGCGTCCATAGACGAAATATAACTTTTTGCAATTACTGTTTTTTCTTTTAATACCCGAGTACGCGAGGTAAAACTTGGAGGCGCTATTGAAAAGCTCCATTTGAACACACTTCTCATCGCTTATCTGTACTGCCCCGCAGCACTGCACGAATTCGTGAAGTACCCACCCGCTTGCATTTCACTAATATTCAACATCGCATATACGCATAAAGTTATCCTGCAATCATATAGGCACATTCGCACATACAAACCATCTTAAGAAACCAAAAGTCGAGCACTTGTGTGAAGAATGTCGCACCATTTGGCGGAAGTGCGTCGGACGGGCATGAACCCCGGTGCGCCAAACAAACGAAATTATTCAAAGTGCATTTGACGGTTGCTGATGGCAATAATATCTGTTATGTGTTTGCTTTCTTCCTCACTGACCCCCCATTCACACTGGAAGCGGATCCGCGTTCGCGAAGAGGTTGCGAAAGCGGTTGTATAAAGATCCAGTGCAATTGCACGCGCATTTGATGTCATCGTGTGCACGTGCAATTGTACTGAATCCTTATACAACCGCGTTCGCAACCGCTTTGCGAACGCGGATCCGCTTCCAGTGTGAATGAGCCCTGAGTGTGCCAAGATAATTTCAGACACACCGTTCAGGCATATATCTTGGGCGTCAGTAAAAGGTCGTCCAAAAAGGCTTAGCGAGGAGTAGGGGACGCTTTTTAGGGCCTCCGTTGTAGCAAGCCGATCTCAGCGTTTGCGAATACTTAATCTTATATCAGCATAAAATTTGAGTGTGAGATATGTGATGACACGAAGAAGACATCATAGTAACTTTTGTGCAGTAGTGAGGTCAAATTTATTGCGTTGCCAATGCTGGCTCAACTTTGATACTCCTGTGAGGATGCGGCTTGCTTTTCGCCCAATGAAGTAACAAGAAGCGGACGTTTGGCAAACAAAATACGTGTAGGGCTGAAGGTGACCAAATTCCAGTTGTAGTTCACTGGTACTAGACGGGATTACTGACACGAGCTCAAAGATGCACTCGTGGGGTGAGGTGACTAAGCCACGTCTTACTACGCTTGCATACGCACGCACAATATCCGGTGTTTCGGGAACCAAGGAAAGTGCCCCGGTCTTCGTTTTCATCTCGCTCGAGAATGAGTGTATTCTACAATCGTGAAAAGTCGGATAGTCGAAAACGCAAGCAGCGCGTTCGGTCGCGGCGTGATAGCATGAGATGAAGCTGCTCAGTCGAAACCGAAACTGAGTGGCCAACTAGTTCCCAGAGTGCACTGCGTGGTATTTCGCCGCGATGGGGCGCGTCGGTTTTGGAAGAAGTCCATTGGCGACGAAACAAAAATTGCCCGGCTTAGACATTCCGCCAAGCGCAACAAACGTGCGATGGCACTCTACTACCGGGCTTTTAACAGGCAACACTTTCTGTCGAAATTATATGCAATAAGACACGCGGCAAAGAAACTGTGTATGTATGAAGGGCTTCTCTTTCCCTTCCTTTATGCACCTCTTTTTTAGGGGTGTTGCATCCTTTTTTTCTAAATGACGCCACGCACACAACTTGACCATGAAATGCCCCCGCACTTTACCACATGATCGTTCTCGTATGCAGTTTCTACCCTACTATGCAGCCCACATTCCTATGCAGTGGAGGAGGGGCGAATGCATCAGTGCCCCCGCTCCACATGGTGCAATGCTATTGGTAAAGTGTTCCATGACATCAAACGAACAGCTGCGCTCAGCTGCCAACACTCTCTTCGACGGCCTCGTAGCGGTGCAATTAATACCAGCAAGAGCAAGCAAGGTTCGTGCAGGGTTCTCATAGAGAGCCATCGCTTTAAACCGCTCGAGGGTCGCAAATGTAATGACCCAGACCCTCGTGCCGTGTCGCTTAGAAGAGTCCCCGACCGGCTCGATTGCTCCTCCGTTGCACAGGGAGATTCTCTTTCACAGACATCGGCGGCAGCAACTCGCCCAGAAAACGCACCCGAGCACAACAGAGCGCAGGAAGTTGTCGGCTCGGTCAACCACCTCCAGCCAGACGGGAGAAACGGCCTCCTCGTGAAAGAGGGACGCCTCCGGCATCGCCCGGAGTGCCTCCAGGGACTCCCGGAGCAGCTCTCCGCAGAGGTCAGAATCCTCGCCGGAGCGCCAGGCCCGCTTGAGGAAGGCGAAGGCAAAGCTGAGGGCGGCACGAGAGCCGACGCGGGCCAGAGCCTGCATCGGCTGCTCGCACGGCATCTTGGCCCTGTGGAAAGAGTGGTCGCGCGAGTGTTGAAAACTGGGCTGGTTGCTACTTGTTCGTTATACAACAGAAGACACAGAAAACAAGAACCAAAGAAAGACCCAAAACAACTGAGTGGCGACTGAGTGCATGTCCATCCTAAATGTGCTCCTTCGGTCTCGGTTTTATTGTACGCCGTTTTACAACGATGGACGCATTGTTCATACCGTTGAGTGGAAGAGACACGTTGCAAAGATGCATACACACTGCAAAGCCCCGAAAGACCATTGTGCAAGTGGGAAAGGGGTTGCCTCGTGGCAAAAATAGAAACAAAAAACTAATTGGGTTCCCGCCTTTCTTTTTCAACTGTTTTTTTCTTTACTTGAACATTAATCATTGAGCACACTTCCAGTAAGCATCAGGAAGAAACCACAATTACTAGCAAATCAAAAGACTGTCTTACAGCGTTAAGATGTTCCGCAACACAGGCTCTTGACAAATGCACGTTTCCCATCTCGACACTCTTACGACAAGCAGTTTCCAAGCTTACAAGCTTCGTTTTTAATGCCGCAGTCAGAGACGGGTTAAGAATGCAGCGGGTGCTCCACTTGGTAGCACAAGCTTTCTGCCCTCGGTAACACTTAAGCAGATGCGCAGCCAAAGCCGTACAAAGGGCAACGAGCGCACGCCAAAGAAGGAGCTTCTAATGCATCCTTAACCCCTCACAAACTACAGTCTAAGCTCGTTATAACAGATCTTGATTTTTACCAAGATTTCTGTCTGTTGCAAAAGGAATATCTTGTATGCAGATATGAAGTTGAGTCAATGGTATGTAGAGGAAAACCAACCGAACTTCACAAATCACTATGTTATATCCAAATGTCTGTAGTAACCAGGACTGTTGTAATGAGCTTAGACCGTATAGACCAGTACGCAAGATTGGACGGCTCTAACCGGGCCTCAAAACTGAGTCAAACTATAATGAAACCATCTCAGAAACTCCGACGTCTTTTAAAAGCCCCTCGCTTCCTAGAAGAAAGCTTGAGAATGCACCTACTCGAAACTAGGAGAGCAAGTACGTGGTAAAGCAAGGATCGACCCCTCACCCTCGGACGTCGGGGCTCTGCAAGTTGCCACTCTGGAGGCTGGGAGAGTGCGGCAGCAGCGTGGCCCCTCCCCTTCGGCGCCTCACCAGCGCCACGTAGTAGCGCTTGGCTACCGCCAGCTGTTGCTTCAGGCGCACAGAGGAAAGCGTGGAGGCGGCCGCTTCCGAGCCGAGCTGGTACTGCTCTGAAACCAGCGTCTTCAGGCACGCCTTTAGCTGGTCCAGTGCTGCAAAGGCCAGGTCCACCAAGCCCTCAGTCCACCTCGCCGTAGCTCGGCGAAAAAGACTACGGTCCCGGCGAGCCAATCGGCGCTTCGGAGGGAAGCTCCTGACTAGGACACGGGTAAGAGGGGATTTTTCTCATGTGACGTCTATGTCACGTGACGCTGAGACGTCGTCGAGGCTACGTGCCGCAGACACAAAATCCCCGAAGCTGGCCCCGCCACGGGGGGACACTGGCTAGAGATTTAACTTCTGAACTACTCAATGTGCAAACTTCCAGCTCTCTGGGACAATTTTACATACCTGTATAAGAAGATGTGCCACTCTTCGTTAGGAAATCTACGATATGAAAATGCGGCTTTTAAGCATCCTTTTGACTGCTCGAATATAAAGTGGGTGATGTGGGACTTTGGGCTACCTAGTTTTTGTAACTCAAATGTAAATATTTCAGGAGGAGTTATTACCTCAAAATGTGAGATGCACCTCTGTCTTATGTAAATGTTTCAGAACATAGTTTTTTCTCAATGAGGACTTCAATTTAAAACAAAATAAGATGATAGTTTAATTCCCCAGTAAATTTCAGTTCAGAAACATCTTGATTGTGGTATCAGTATACTTTTACCTTCGAACAAAAGATTCCTTCGTGTGAAATCTGCTGCAAAAAGTGGAACCGAGAAAAATGCATTCAAACATTGAACTCCTTTACTTTGTTACTGCCTCACAATGTGTCAAAAAGATTTTACATCAACCAAACTATTTTGTGTACAGTTATCAAATTGAGTGTAAGGGTGTATAATTAGTCCCATCGCCGTTCTCTCCCCGAGGAAATGAGCCGACTCACAAGGCTGCGGACCCCATGCCCAGGCGTCGATGAGGGTCCGTGAGGTAAGGGCTGGGTCCCGGTCCCGCTCCGAGGCCTCCCTGTCGGCCGAGGGCGGGCACGATGGACACGGGCATGCTGAGGCCCCCGTCTGGGGCACGCACGTGCACAGCCCAACGCGCTCTGCGGAGCGCCGACGAGGAGAAAGAAAGACGGTTCGTAACTGGTCGGCACCTAAGCAACGGTACGTCCAATCCCCAACACCAGCGATTTATCTTTGCGAATTTCGCAAACCGAAAACTGCCGCACAAGAATCCAGGGCTGTTTGCTGGTGACTGCGATTATCTCTCGCGTCGGTTAAAACAGCCGCAAGATGGATTTTTGGGTCATGCAACCGGCTCTGTGGGGACAAGAAACTGAAGGTACCTAGAGTTCTACGCAAATGGCTGCCGCAAGTCCATCTTTGCTTCGATTATTCGAGTCCAATTTTGCACGCAAAAAGAGGGTGAACCTGCTTAAGGGGGCACTCAAGTGCATTCAAATCTTGGGCTTTGACAGTGAAGGTCCGAAAGAAAGAATGAGGTAAAGAGCGACCAAAGAATGGAGAAAGGAAGCAGACGATATGTTAAGGCTTGTTCATTTAGCCGTGACGCGCTAAAGTTGTGCAGTTGCTTAACTCTAGCTTTTCTTTTACGGCACGCCAGACACCCATGTTTTCTGTAAAAAATATAGCTAAAAAGCTCAGATATCTACTTGGTAAGTGATATTTTGCCAATTCTTTGTGTCTATCAAAGCCTCGTCAACACTCGGAGCGTGCCAAGGCCTCTGGGATCACCAATGTTTGTCTCTATGCTCCATCGTTCCAAAGTGGCTGAAATGCGTGCGAACATGGCAAACCTTTTCCTCTAGATTTATTACATTAACTGAGTGAAAACGGGGAGGACTAGGATGCCCCGGAGTAAACTGATATCTGAAGTAGTGAAAGTGCTGCGGTGGCATCAAGAGTGGAAACCGCTGAACTGCAAACGCCAACGTCCTTTCCCCGGCTCCTCGTTGGTGTGAACGACCAAGCCGAGGAGGGAACTGGACCTGCTATCGACGTCAGGCATATTCCTCTGCAGATTTCTACCCCATGTGGATACCGCTCAAAGAGGCTTTTTCTGGTTCGAAGCATAAGCTCAAGCCCAAGGACCTTTAACGGAAGACAGCGGGCCATTTGGCATATCTCCGGTGATAGCAAAGTTTCAGCAAGCGCTCGGAAAAGGATAGCATGGCCCTCGGATCACCAGGTCCAGAATCTTTTCGTCCCGCTATGGGAAACTTTTTTCTAAAAACAAATTGAAGCAGTGGAGACGCACTGTCGACGTTAGGCGTCAACCAATTGGACTGCTAAAACAGCCTAACAAATGGACGTGCGTTTGGAAAAGTTACCATGGAGGAAGCAACTGGATGCATCTGTTTCTTATAAAAACTAGTGGTGGACCGAACCTGCCAAACTTCAGATTTGGCAAAGATTCGGCGAAAATTCGGCAAATGTTTGCGCACGTGCGAGAACGCGTTGGGGCCATGGATTGCAAATGGATGCTGTGCAGTCGTGCGGTTACCATCGTGCGGTGTAGTATAACAAGCGGATACGGCGAGGTGTGGAGTAGGCAACACGGTAACTGAGCATTTGTGAGCGAGTGTGGTTCTCTTCAATATTTTCTGCCTCAAGAACAGAAGATCGACCAGGAATTTACACAGTCCACTGCGCAAGTGACAAATGATGGGGTACATTCTGGATAACGTGATTTTCATTTGACATTTCCAGTGATGCAAAAAGGTAGTTGAAACTTTGACCGACAATTACTTCAAAGCACTCCTCGCAATTATAACAATTTTGTTTTCGGCTCAGAAGTAGTGTGTGCCAAAACAAAATAATATTGCTTTGATTGTTCCTCTTGTTTTCCTTCTCCAGGGATTATTTTCGTCTTTTTCAAATGGCGTCATTTTGTGATTTTCATGTATCTGCATAAAACTAAACACAGGACTATAATGCTCGACGATGCATGCCCAACATTCCTAACTCTCCCTATCTTCCTAAACGTTTGTGTGTGTCCTAACACCGGACATTGGTATTTTAAAGGTTACAAGCGAGATGTTGCGAATATGGGACGCACACTTTCATGCAAAGCTGACGTCAAGTGACTTAAGTAAAAAACATGCATATTTACAATAATATTTTTATCTCTTCTGGCGAAGGCTCAGCAACCGTTGCATCCGTTTTTGCGCACAAAACGGAGACTCCCAGAGAAAGCAAGAACACAGAGTTATTGCCTTCATTTTAACAATGTACACACACATGCAGGCTTGCGCTGATAATGCCTAAAAACCGAAACTCTCGTAGCGTGATTCGTGACTGCGCCACGCTCGCTACTACCCAACCTCATTGTCACGCCACCTAGCAAGGAGTCACTAATATTGCCAGTAAACACACAAAAACGACACCGATACAATTATCTTGTAGAATATCACCTTATTTAGTAATAACTGTGTCAATATGCATTACATGTTGCCTTTAAGAAAAAAAAAAACTTATTTCGCAAGAAAAAATTAAATATCAATGTTAAGTCTGGTAACAATGTATTTTTTCTGAATATTTAGAAAAGTTCGGCAAAAGTTCGGCTTTGCTGAATCTCAAGATTCGGAGCCGAACTTTCGATTCGGCAAAAGTTCGGTCCATCGCTAATAAAAACCCACAAACATGTCGAAAGATGGATTCTATGAGCTATACAAATTAGAAAACTAGGGGTCTTAGTATTTCGAAATAATTGAGACGCCATGTAAAAGGTGCAACATCTGCTTAAAAAAATGATCAAAATTTTTAATATTTTTATTTTTTATTTTTTTTTGCTTTTACATGGATCAGTGCCACTGGTGGTGACAAAATTGACTAGGGCGGTAAGTGCCAAAGTTTTCGAACTAGTAAGTAGTTATCCAAGAGCCATGGTCAAATTTCGGGGTTTTACATGCCTAACAAATGATGGGCATCTGGCATGCCCCAGCGGGTGACTGAGAATTAATTTCGACCACCTGGGGATCTTATGACAATCCACCGAAGGCTCGGTTACACGGCGCCTTCTATGCAATATGCCTCCGTTAGACTGCGGGCACCTCGGCTGGGATTCGAACCCGCCACCTACGGATCCGTAAGCCATCGCTTTGCCTCGGGGCCACCGAGGCACCTTCTAAGAGCCATGATAATAGCTCTATTAACGGTGGCTTGAATGTTCAGGCATCGAGTGGAACATTACCTCTTGCCTGGGACGTCACATCCTCGCTCACGGCTTGCAGTTCTCCATCCTTGACTAGTTCGTTCCAAGACTGTGCTAGTCCCTCGTAAGAAAAGACACACTGCAAACAAGAGCGCAATCTCTATTCACGCTAAAATCACAACACGGGAAAGCGTTAAACGCGGGTTCAAAAAGGAAGCTTAAAATCCTTGATTCTTCAGCCCTCTCTGTGCCAAAGCCTTCCAAGCAATGGTGATTAACTTGCCGAAGTAAGCTACTCTAATAGGCCTGTCATCTAGGTAACAAATTTACTCATTTACTTCCATTCAGGAAGCAAAAAAAGAAAGGGCCAAAAATGACAATAAGGAAAAGCTGGCTTAAAAAAGCATGGTAAAGGCAATGCTAAGTTTGTTAGCAATATCACAAGCAGGCCATGTTTCAGTCAGGCAATGACAATATCTTCCGTCCATTGCCTTCCCAGTTAGTAAGATTTTGTCAAAAAATCAAGATTACAATGTTTGAGTGGTGCAAGCTTTTTGCAACCTTAGTGGAAGAGCAAATGTCCCTTTTTACGATTATACGCCATAATGCTTCATTGACTTCAGCATCTATGACGGAGCATCGGTCGTTGTACTTTCACGGTGGCTAGAAAAGAGGTACGGTTACAACACAGGTGGCGGAAAGGCAACTTCTCTTTCAACCCGACGAGCAAATTGTCGAAATTACAGCAAGTTGGCAGTTACAGACCAACATTGACGGTTTCTTACAATCTATATCATTCAAATTCCCCGTAAAACAATAAACTGCAAAGGTGCACAAACGACACGGAAGACAAAACCAAATTTGAGTGTTTTACGTGCCAAACCAATGTAGGGCACCCAGCAAGCCACAGCGAGGGACCGAGAATTAATTTCGACCTCCAGGGGATCTTTCGATAAGCAAACGACGTCTCAGTGATGCGGCATCTCCTCTGCAATAAGCTTTTGTCAGATTGCAAATGGCCGGGATTTGAACCTGCCACCCGACGATTCGTAGGCCGCCACTATGGTGCCTGATCGCATTCTCCGACCAGTGTATTTACCGCATCCTTGAAAGCAGTCCCTCGATTTCCGCTCAACGATGCAATAGAAGCGTCTCAGTATCCCGACGGCGGTGGTGGGGGCAGCAGACGCCCATTGTGCTGCTCTCCAGCTTCTCCAGCCAGCCCACAGAAGCTTTGGCAGCCAAAAGTTACGACTCCGCGACGACAGCAACACTCACACTCGCTCACAGTTTTTACTCAAACTTCTAGCACAAACCATGAGGATCGCGTCTTCCGACAGCGTGATACGCCGGATGCTAACGGCCGTACCCTTTGTATCGGCAGTAGCTTGCGCCACCTAGCCTAGAAATCAAGAACCAAAAGTATAATTTCTTTCAACAAAGGGTGCCGACATGTGCGACGTCTCTTTGTTGCCGGGACCACTTTGGACGTATGGGCGGGATAGGACACTAAGCAAACACGCCCGTCAAAGACAGATTCCAGGCACCGCAACTGGCAAATTACCTCGGAGACCGAGGCGGCTAAGACGGCGGAAAGAAAAACATCAAATCACTAGGATAATCGTTAATAGGGAAGCTTGGGTGAGTTGGTGATTCATCTTGACGTTACAGCGCACGAGACAAGGACAAAACGAGAGACACACAAAGAGACAAAAACAAGCGCTGACTTACAACTGCAGAAATATATTGGACAAACTGGCCGGTGTTTAAATGATTAAGAAAACACCATTATGACACCCACAAAGTCATTTCTGGAGATCACAGCCCCTACTGCAGGGATTGTGGTTGCCCAGCAGGTCTCAAGAAAAGTACCGTCATAGCTAGGAGTAAGAGCCCGCTCACAAGAGAAATAATAGAAGGCCGCGACGATTGCGCGCCCAGAAGATAATTGTGTCAGTAGCCCATCCATAACGCTACCTAAAAAAGAATTAGAATATTTAGCGAGATTATTGCAATGGCTTGAGAAAAAACTTTTTAATTTTTCCCTGTTTTCATTTATAACCATCTGGTATTTAAACTAGTTTTGTGAAGAGAAAGTAGAAGAATACAAAGGAGTTGTAAGTCAGCACTTGTGTTCGTCACTTTGTGTGTCTCTCGTTTTGTCCTTGTTTTGTGCGCTGTAACCTCGACACAAGGACCAGTAAGGGGACAACCACTGGCCTGTAAGTCTCGGTGGAGCCACTTGCTGTCCAGCCGTGGTTCGGACCGAACCGCGAATCTCGGCTGATTCTGCATTCTAGCTGTAAATGAGATTTGAAAACAATCTGCTATTAAGAAAATATACACGGACACTAGAAACTTTAAGCAACTTCTCTAGATTTTAAAGCGTACACAACATTGCATGCAACGTTTGTTTGTTTTTTCGTAGATAAATACTCATGCAGACAGGTGGTGCACGCGCGAATAACGCTCTAGGCAAGACGCACCGGCAATAATTATACGTAAACAATAAAAATAACGAAAAAAAAAAAAGAAGTTCCCAGTGAGACGACCAAGAATTGAACGAAACGGAATGTCGCACGCGTCTTGAACGTCCGACGAAGCTCTACACGTTTGATCGAAGTTTGAAGAACGGCTGAAACTAAAAGCGCACAGCGACCAGAGTAAACTGGCCGGGCACAAGTCAGTGCCTCTACTGAAAACAGCTGATCCAATGAGCGGATGAGCCGGCGCAGTATCGCGTCAAAGCAGCACGCTAATACGTGCGAGTTCCCCTCACGAGAGTGAAGCATACTTATGCGCAAGCTCAATCTTCTCTTCTTATGACTGAGACCAATAACAAAGCTGTGGGCTTGTAATGGTTAGCAGTATTGATTAGAAAACGCTTACAGTCAATCCCGTCCGGGCTGCCATCTTGTTATGGCAGCCATCCGCATTGCAGGCGTTTTGGAGCTGCGAGCTGCCTTGGTAGGCCACCAGTGCGGAGCGCCGAGTTGAGGAGACGCCGCAGCGTCGTTTATTTGTACGACTTAGTTGGTCGGAGAATCAAAATCACCTAGGAAATGGTCACAACTCTCAGCCTGAAGCGCGGACGGCGCGGATGAGCGGGATCACGAGATGGAAAAGCTGAAGGAACTGAAGCCAGTGACGGCTTGATGCGGTGCTTGGATTGGCTTTCTACTTTGTTGCTACGTCAAACAAAACAAAAATCTGCTAATCGTTTTACCTTTAAAATTTCAAAAAGTAATACACCTTCTCTGTTTGCAACCATAGAGTTTGCGACCGCTTTATCTAAAAGTTTGTCTTTCTATTTGTTTTTAAATTTTGATCGACGTAGAGGGCAGAAGGTTTGCGCAACATTCGCTAGATCACCAGCACTGTAACCAGTTTTTTTATAAAGGGTACTTGTCCAATAATTTAAAGTTCCAAATACAAAATAAAATTTTGTATTTTATTACGTTGATTCCACCAATCATGAATTTTCTGAATTATACTGTGCTTACGATGGCTATTGGGGCGCTACAATCGCGAGCGCGGTCTGCGTATGTTGTCTGCTTTGCGGCGTAGTTCAAATTAAAGCACGCTATGTCCTTGGTGGCTTTCAACTCGTGTGTATGTGATTAATCATCGGGGCATAATCAGGCACTTTTCATATTTTGTATGCACTCCGCTCATGTTTCCCGAACAAGTTCACCACGATTCTTAGTGCTCCGCCGACGGAGGGAACCGCAAGCAGCCGTCATGCTTCGTGTTGTGCAACTAACGGTGTTTCACCTCAAGAGCTTTGTTTGGATACATCTGGTTGCGGCGGTCTATTTTCTATGGGAAGTGGCGCTCAGAGCAAAAGGATGGTTCATTCCGAACGCGCAGTTAACCTGTAAGTACCGTTTTCAAACGTGCGCGTTTGTGAGCCACGTGAAAGTTCACTGCTCGACACTGTGCGCGCGGCGAACACGACATCGGCGCTTTTCGGGATTTTAGGGCAGCAAACTTTATCCGGAGCGCCAGTTCGTCTGCTTCTTGCGCAGGGGTGACGTCAGAACGCCGAGCTCTGATTGGCTTTGATGGTGGGGTAGACCTCGATCTAGCTGCCTTCAGTTCTACCCACTATCCGTCCAATCGGAGCCAATCAAAGCTCGGCGTCTCTCTGACGTCACCGCAACCCCCTGCTCAAGAAGCAGACGAACTTGCGCTATATTCGTTTTCACCTCAAGAGTAGAAAAGAGTGCGGCACCTCATGGAGCATTAGTAATTTCCTCCTTTATGTGGATAATTGAGACTTGGGACGTTTTCACTAACGTAATTTGGTCCACCATTTTGTTGTTGTAAGCTGTCTGGCATGTGCCAGAGGCGGGCACCTCAAGGATTTACATGATTCGTCAAATGCATAGAGTACAGAAGCTTATGTCTTATTATGCTGACATCTCCTCAACAGGTTGCGATGTAATCCTTCAAATTAGTAAATTTGTTTGAAAAAAACAAACTAACAATAAAATTGCGGATTGACGTCATGTGAAAATAACCTATATGTAGGTACAGTTTAGATTAGATATATCTTATCTTATCAACACATACAGGTTTCAAATGCCAAAAGCATAGCTTCTTTCTCAAACAAAATCTTGTTAAAACTACTTTGTGCGGCGTATGAATGATGCACTAAACTTGCGTTTTTTTTTAGGTGAAAGCGAGTGTAGTCAGTTTGATGACAACCTTTTGATTTTATGGGCGAATATGTACCAACGTTCACATTTCCCTCTGATACAAAAATCATATTCCTTGCAGATTTCCCCGTAAAGAATGCAACTGCGGTCATCACAGGTGGATCGAAGGGGTTAGGTTTCGAAACGACTCAAAGTTTGCTCGCTTTGGGTGTCCGGGTGATTGTTGGTAGGTGCGTTTGCTCGGTTAATCTCAAATTTCGAACAATTAGCAAGGAGCTATAGTAAGTTACAGGTCAAAAAGGTAGCGGCAAATGCCCCTCAGAAGGATTCATATATCCCTCCGCCACCTCCGCATCCAATAGCATCCCATCGTTTCCGTGACGTCGTGGCCAGCACGGGAGAGGATTTTGCCTTCGTGTAAATATTTGCTTTTTCTTTCGGCTTTGACTTAGCGTTGTGAAAGCCACGAGGGGGAGATTAGAATTTTCCTTCTCTAATGGAAACAAATACAACTTTGGGGGGGGGTTAGGTTCCCCCTCCGATGGATACAAAGGCCAGTTTCAGGGGCTCGGTTCCCTCTCCAATGAATACAAAGGTCGCTTTCTTAAAAAGTGGGGGTCGGAGACAAGCTGGCATCACTCTGTAGCCATTATCTATTCATTGAAGCGGAACAAGGGGCGTTTCCAGGGAACTATTCTTTCGACTGCGGATGGATTTGAAACGGGCTCATCACGCTTATGGGTGGAGCTTCTCCTACCTTCTTGACTTGTAACCGACAATAGCTGGTGCACGTTAGACATGGTGAATTTACCCTATACGTGGTTTTTCTGAGGAACGACACAAACGCAGCTTAATTTTTTATGGACAGAAGGGGCCTTTAAATAGGCATGCGAGGAAGTCTTTCTACAAGTACAGTTCTGCCTACAACCACTGCCCGGTGGGAATTCGTTACCCTGTCCATTAAAATTCAGCTGTAGTTTGAGACTTCTCTGTGTTTGTGTTGTCATTTAGAAAACTCCGGTTTCGAGTATTCGCAACTATCGGTGATAGTGGTACCGCGGTGTGAGGATCGTGCTCCCGAGCTCCTGGATGACCTGCTTCCAAACGAAGGTGCTTACTCCTTCCCGACGTTGAAGTATTTGGTTCGCTTCTGATATCGCTCATATTTCACAAAATTAGAATTACTCCCTGTTCCCCTGGTCACTAACCATGGGGAACAAGGGTTGGGCGAGTAGGGTGGGCGGCAAAATGCTAAGTCCGCCTCTGTTCGGTCTATTTAAATATTAAAAAACGGTGCAAAAAACGCACACACACAAAAAAGCATATTCAACTTTTTTATTTTAATGTTTCATGTTATTCAATGAAAATCCCTCTTTCAGACGGCTCTTTCACAGGTGCCTGCATAATTGCCACTCTCCTTTCCTAACCCTTGGCAGTAATCAATGACAGAATCAAATAAAATTATTATTACCGTAGAATACCATGCCCATACCACATTAAGTGCCCATTCCCAAATTTGTATAATCTGAGAAAATATGTACAGTACATTGATATGTAGAATTGACGACCGGACAAGCGCCCATCCCCCATTTTTTTAGGATTATCTCAAAATCTTGAGTGGGCGCTTGCCCGGTATTTTACGGTATATTATTAAAAAAACATGGCAAGGCATTTCTTTTTAATGCTTGACCTCCAGCGTGCGCTCGTTGCCTTGCGCTGGCTTGCGCTGCTTTGGCCGTGCATGCATGCTTGAAGCTCATGAAATGCTGAAGCATCATGAAAGTTAGGAAGCTTGCAGTAGAGGTGGGACAACTGAAAGACCTCCCTGCTGTTCGTATCATGTCAGCGACTACAGCTGGGTTTGTGATGGTTCCATACTCTCAAACCAAAGATGTTTATCTGCCCTTCTTTTTCTTGTCCTTGTTTAGCTATTTGCCGGACTCCAAACATTGTTTTTCTTCAGGTAGCTCTTCAGCTAAACGAGCTGCAATGGCTAAGCAATGTATGCTAGAGAAGCACCCAAACGGCCAAGGTGCGTCATATTTTGGAGCATTCTCGAGATTGCCATAGTTGCGCTTCATTGATGTCGTCACTTTCCTTGACAGTGGAGTTTCTGCCACTAGACCTCAGATGCATGTCGTCCGTGAAGTCCTTTGCCAAGGAGGTTATCGCTCGCAGTGCCGCAGTAGACCTGCTCATCTGTAATGGTAAGTGGCAAGGTACCGTGACTCCTATTATTGTACCAAATAACGCCACTATGTGGCAGTCCCTTCTGTTGCTGCAAACCTAGTCTGGTAGGCATAGAGCGTCAAAGCGATTATGGACTTGCATGTCCTAGAGCAGTGGTTCTCAACGATTGATGTTTCGCGGACCCCTTGTGGATCGGCGGAGATGATTGAGGACCCCGTTTGCGGTGAGGGGAAGGGAAAGGTATAGATTATTTATGATAATGACTTAATAAAGGAACACAAGTAAGGGCTAGTGCGAAGTAGACTTCTCTCATGGACATACACACGAGAAAACTCACCCAAAAATTTGAATGTCTACTCAATCTAGAAAGACAACTTTCATTTCCGGGTTTGACTAATATGTGACAAGGCTTCGCGGACCTCTAGAATGCCTTCTCAAATGGGGTTCTGCTAACCCCCATTTGAGAACCACTGTCCTAGAGGTTTAGGAGCTGGTCAATTATGTTTGCACAGCCCCAATGACCCGACCAACCACTATGCAAGAAGCCGATTGATTACACGCCACTTTGAGGTGTAGTCTAAGTGATTTAAAGGGGTAGTGCATTGATTTCAATGTTTAAGGAACTTGCAGTTTCTTTTTTTATATTGTTTATCTAGGCACAACTGTCACCCTGCCCCAAAAAACTGCTATTCTGCTGCTTAATCGCGAAGAAAAAAGCAAATAATTTGATGATATGCAGCCGTGTGTGGCGGTTTTGGGAGCTACGGTGACACGTCTCTGGGTGACACAAGGAAGCCAACAAAACCTGTCCCTCTCCGCTGCTACACTCGCCGTCAGCCCCGTGGCGAACCGTCTTTTCTGTCGGTTACTTGCCACGACCCTCGGCGATGCTAATCCTTGAAAAGTCTACATTCGCAGCGAAAGCGGCTGTGGTGCCTGAAGCGAGAGCACAACAAGAAACCAGGTGGTCCGCCTGAGTATGTCACTCGACAGATGATGTGGAAGTTGAAAAGCACTTTGACCTTCAATTTTTCATTTTTTTTTTAAATTAAAAACTAGCGCGTGCAAGGATATTTATGGTTCTCTGTTCTGTGCATAGATGACGCAGATTAATTCCCGGAGTGAATTGGCCACAGTCCGTGTACACCGCTTTAACCGAAGCAGTGCATTGGGGAAGGGAAGCTGAATTCCCAATGTATGCCCGGGTATACAAGTTTTCGTGGCATTGCATTCGAAACTATGGGTGCCTGTGTGCTCGTACACCTTGGCTGCCATTCCTAAATATTCGTGGTGTTTGTCGAGTTACATTTTTGAAACTCGCTTACATCCTTGAGCGACTGGAACGGCATGTTTTAGGCATTGTGTGCCGAAGTTCCTTCTGCCAGACTGCTTGTTCATAAATGTAGTGATTGCTCCTTTTCTCGCCTTCAGCCGGGGTCATGATGGTTCCGTACTCTCAAACCGAAGACGGGTTTGAGTCGCACCTCAGCGTGAACTACCTCGGCCACTGCCTCCTGACTGCCCTGCTGCTTCCTCGACTCGCGTCGGCGGGAACCACCCGCAAGACAGCGAGGATAATCAACGTCACTTCCTGCGTCCACAAGGCTGCCAGCATCAGCTTTGACGATCTCCACAGCAAGTAGGCTTCCTTTAATAACCCTCACGAGACCCAGACCATCAGGGGTGGACTTACCAGTAGGCAGAGTAGACAGCTGCCCAGAGTGGCAAAATTTGAGCGGTGGCAAATTTCGGAGGGTGGCTAGAGTGGTGCCGGCGTAGCTCGGCAAACCTCACTCATGAAGGCCCTCACTTACCCTCACTCACCCTTATCTTCACAGGTGAGGTGAGGGTGAGTGAATTTCTGAACCAAGAAAATTCATGAGTGTGAGGACCGTGAGTGTGTGCGAAGGGGTATGAGGGCGGTGAGTGTGCGAGGGCCATGAGTATGTGAGGGTCGTGAGGTTCAGTGGGGGTGAGTGAATGGTTGAAGTTGAGTGTGATGTGGAGGATGGGGGCTGAGTGAGGGGCTGAGGGCAAGTGTAGCTGTGAAAGTGAGTAAGAGGCTTAGGTGAGTGCAACTGCGAGGATGAGTAAGGGTGACCTAAAATGACGACCTCTGGGTGCCAACACTTTTTGAGCTGTGCACACAGCCTGTTGGAGCCATGAACAACTATACACAAACTCAACTTTGTGACGTCACGGCGCGGTGGTGGCGCGTCGATCGCACTTCCGGTCTGGGGCTGTGGACAGAAGTCCCCATGTCAGACGTGTATTCCTGAGTTGTTTTGAAAGGAACCAGACAAAAACCTGCCTTCTCGTCAGAACGCCGCGACTGGGGCCGTACCAAAAGTGTCGAGAAAGGTTTGAAGGTCAGTTTTCACGTGCTCGGTTCGTCCGAGTATCTGGATATGTGCCGTGAAAAGGGAAAAGCAGACGCCGTCGGACAACGATTGCTTGGGCGGGTAGCACTTTGGGTTGAATTCCCGGATACTTGTGGTCATCAGATTTATTTGTTTTGTTCCAACATGAACGCCAGAAAACCGTCAAGTTGTGCAGGCCACTTGCGGACTACGTTCAGTGCGTCTTCAAATTCAAACGGCCTCCTGATCGGTCAAACTGTCGTCTGCTATTTCAAACGTTTCTGCTTGTCGTCTGCTCTCTTTTAGACGACACCTGCCCGTAGACCACATGTTGGCCCGGTACTTGCGATAAGAAGTAAGTGCAGGCATCAAAAGACTTAAATTTGAAGGTTGGCAAGCAGGCTCGATGTAAACAATAGATACAAGAAATGTTCATCATTGTTACCTGTGACCATCACCGACTTGTTGTGCCTAATTCACTTGGTCCGACTCTGCTTGTGATTTTCAGTATCGACGTCGACCACATCAGCTACGGTTCACGCTTTTGCAGCCCGAGCGGCGTCGCGACTGAAAATTGGGAGCGAAATCTCATCATGCGAACCAGGCTTTAGCGTACATACTGCGGCGTCCACGCGGAATGAATCGCCACATGTCACATTAGTCACGCGAAGTTTTGCGGTGTAACGAGCCTCAATAATTTCGCTGACGCCGCTCAAGATAGTCAGACATCGCCAGGAAGACGTAAAATCAACAATGCGAACGCGAAAAAGGGCAGGGGGACTCACACCGACGCCGACAACATTGCATTTCAAAGGCTTGTTTATGGGCGACGACGAGCTTCTTGCCCACATCCCCATTGCGCATGCGCGGCACCGGTGGCGTCCGCTAGGGGCACTCCGGTTTGTTTGTAAACATGAGTTGGTGTATAAGATTTTCCTGGAAAGCAGAGTGCACGTGAGACACGTGTCATGTAACGGCATTTTATGGCACATTGTTTGAGTGAGCCTCGCATCGTCTTGCTGTTAGCTGTAAAGAACTTATCCCTTTGGCTGGCAGGTTTGACCTAACTGGAAACCATATCTTATAATTCTGCCTAGCGAATTTGGTGCTATGCAATTTTGGAATATGCCTGGGCAGCTCCACTTGTTCAGCATACGAGATTGCAATTTACTTTTGAAAATTTTATTGGGGGAGGGGTACTTTTAGAAACTGTTTACTTAAGGTCGCAAAATCCCAAGTGCACTTATGCGGACAATGTTAAAAAAAATTGGGTTGTGTGTATGTTTATACAGCCCAGAACTTGGTCTGCCTCAACGGGCGATGAGTCTCCCAGCTGTAGTTGAGAAATTTAGCCAGTGCAGTACAACCGGTAGCCTGGGGTCTTTAACGTGCACCACGCAGTAGTGATACACAACTGCACGCCGGTACCAGGCCATATTATATGGAACCTACAAGTTGTGTGAATTGCTTCGTTATACAAGTTTGATGATTGCATAAATACTGAAATAATTTATTCTTGATTATATTCGTAACAAAATGGGCTGAAAAGGATGCTGAGAATCATTTTTAAAGACCTCTTTTTTTAAAATAATTTCCTTAGAGTTTTTATCAAACTCAAAGCAGGTGACTGCAAGAGGTCTCTAGTAGATTTGTCCTGCAGACGGGTGCAAAGGAAACCGCCAGTAGTTTCACATCGCTTGTTTGCACCATCTGTTGGCGATAGAAGAAACCTTTGTCTCTCTGAGAGAGCTTCTATGTGCATCCTCATCAATCGCATGTTTGACAAACTGCCACACATTTGCAGTTGCAGTTTTTTTCGTCGCACAAACAACAAAGTGTGTCCGTGTGTTTTCGATTTTTTTTAGTCCTGAACTATACGCATTGTTTAATTTTGGCAAAGGCCTCCCTACAATGCAGTATTCAATCTGGAGAAAAAAATCAACATTAAATTGAGCATTTACTTATCAATTCATCTTTGGCAAGTGTGACTTTTGGTTTTAAAATTGAAGCTAGCACTTTGTCAAGTATTTGGTCATCTCCCACTTGACCCCTTCAGTTCAGTTCAGTTTATTGTACCTCAAAGGCATTTCAAATGAAATGCATTACATGAGGGGGGATCAAATGACATATACAGATGGCAAAAGAGTGACGACGAGGTAAATAATAGGAAAACGCAAGAAGAAAACAAAAAAACTACTAACTAATAGGACAGATATCAGAACATAACATGTAGAAAAAATAATTAACAGATAAACATGTTAAGGATCAACGCTTTTCAGATGTGCCTTGCATAGTTCACGGAATGTCTTAGGGTTAGATTCACGTACTATGGATTCAGGAAGGGAATTCCAGTTAGTAACAGCGAGAGAAAATGGGGAATTTGGGAATTTATTAGTTCTGGCGAATAGAGGTTTAATTTTTAGGCTGTGGTCATGACGCGAGGAGATGTGAGGTGATGGGTGACAGTTGGTGTTCCGAAGATCAGAAGAGGAATAGTAAGTTTTGTGAAAAAGGACAAGACGAGCAAGTTGAGTTCTTTGAGATAGAGGGCATAGGTCGAGGTTGAATTTTAGTGCAGTTACGTTTGCGAGTAGTCGTATGTTATAAAAATTGAGGCCTTGTTTTGCACCGATTCAAGTTTAGTAATGAGATATGATTGATGAGGCCTCCAAATAAAGTTGGCATAGTCCAATTTTGATCGGACGAAAGTCTTATAGACGCGACGATGCTGCAGTTGTTGGGACTGATAGACATTTCGTCGGCAAATCGGACGGGATAAACGCACCGTCGACACACAATAGCTCATTGATTGCTTCGTGGAGAGGAAGTACGAATTTAGGTCGGGAGAAACTTCCCTCTTGTGTGATTGATGCTGGCAGCAGAGATGACAGGATTAAGATAAGCGGATACTCATTCAGTGGCTGCCTTTCTGGTTGCCTGTTTTGCTTATGATGAAAGGACCTTTCCTGTTCTGTGCGAAGACAGTCGGTGCCTTTGACGTCAGTTCAGGAATTTCTGCGTGCGGCGATGATTGTTCATCGCCAGCCAGGATCTCGGGACAGTGTCACGGGCCAGGGAGCGCAACTATGGTGGTGATCACGTGAGCCCTACAAATGTGACGTGGTGACAACATTGTCGTCTGCTCTCATTCCGGCACACGTAGGGCATGTACAGCGTCGTCCCATAGTTGTGCTCCCTGGTGTGCGAGGTCGTCCCAAAATCCCAGGTCTCAGCAGTCGAAACTGAATGGTGGGATAATCGATTATGTCTAGAGCATAGTGGCATACCAAATCTTCCAGTGTATACACCAACTCATGTTTACAAACAAACCGGAGCGCCCCTAGCGGACGCCACCGGCGCCGCGCATGCGCGGTGGATGGTGGGCAAGAAGCCCGCCGTCGCCCATAAACAAACCATTGAATTGCGCTGTTGTCGGCGTCGGTGGGAGTCCCCGTGCTCTTTTTCGCGTTGGAATTGTTGATTCTACGTCCTCCTAACAATGTCTGACTACTTGAGCGGCTTCAGCAAAACTAACGAGGCAAAACTTTGCGTGAATAATGTGACGCGCGGCGATTCATTTCACGTGGACGCCGCAGAATGGGCGCTAAAGCCTGACTCCCACGATGAGATTCTGCTCGCTGGTTTCAGACGCGACGTTGCTCGGACTGCAAAAGCGTGGACCGTATCTGAGATGGTGGACATCGATACTGAAAACCGCAAGTAGAATCGGGCATTACAAATCGGTGATGGGCACTCGTAACAATAATGATCAACATCTTCTTGTATCTGTTTACACTTAGCACTTACCCCAACCAAACTTCAGAAGTGTTTTGAGGCCTGCACTTAGTTCGTATCGCAATTACCGGGTCAACATTTGGTTTACGGGCCGCTGTCGTTTGAAGGAGCTGACGACAAAAAGCAGCGAAGTTTGAAAGAGCAGACGACAGTTCGAACGCATGCGTAATGGAGTACGGGCAAGAAGCACCGCGTCCCGCGTCAACAAACCATTCGAATGTCACGTTGTCGGCGTCTGTGTGAGTCTGCATACTCTTTTTCGCGTTGGAATTATCGATTCTACGTCCTCATCGCAATGTCTTGCCACTTTAATCGCCTGAGCGAAATTATCAAGGCTCGTTACGCCACTAAACATTCCGTAAATAATTTGACGTCCGGCGATTCATTCGCATGAACGCCGCAGAATGGACGCCAAAACCATGATGAGATTCTTCTAGCTATTTTAGGTAGCGACGTCGCTTGTGCTGCAAAAAAGTAGAAGGTAGGGCGACGATCGACGTCGATACTGAAAATCTGAAGCGGGAACAGACCAAGCGTAACAAGTCGGTGATGGCCACCGGTACCAATGATCAACATCTTGTATCTACTGTTTACACCGAGCCTACTTAAGTCTTTTGAGGCCTGCAATTACTTCTTATTGCAATCACCGGGTCAAAGTTTGTTCTACGGGCCGCTTTTGTTTGAACGAGCAGACGACAAAAAGCAGACAAGTTTGAAAGAGCAGACGAGAGTTCGAACGATCAGGCGGCCGTGTGAATTTGAAGACGCACTGAACCCGCGGGTGGTTCGGACAACTTGGGGGTTTTCTCTCGTTCATGTTAGAACAAAGCAAATACATCTGGCGACCACAAAGTGTTGCCTGCACACGCAATCGTAGTTCGACAGCGTCTGGTTTGCCCTTTTCACGGCTACTATCCACGTTCTCGGACGAACGGAGGGGGCAAAAACACATGAAAACTGATCTTCAAACCTTTCTAGACCCTCTTGGTACAGCCCCCGTCGCAGTATTTTTACAAAAAGGCAGGTTTTTTGTCTCGTTTCTTCCAAGGGAACACAGGAATGCATGTCTAGCACGGCGACTTCTGCCCACCGCCCTAGACCGGAAGTGCGTCCGGCGCGCCACCACCGCGGCGTGACGTAGGAGAGTTGAGTTGGTGTATAAGTCCTGTTTTTTCCCCTCAAATTTTGCTAGTGTATTTTATACAATGGTGCAACTTACGCAGCTTCTTTTTTACAAATCTTGTCCTTAACTGGGGAAGATGTATGCCATATCGACATTTACAAGAAAGGAGGAGCAGCGGAGCATTCGCTGGTGATCTGCTTTTCCGGTAGTCCGAAGACTGTTTGTAGCGTGGTGGCGGAGCTTTGTGGTTGCAGCGCTACACCAGTCGTGCAAGACACTGCAACTTAAAAAAAAGAAAACTAGCAATGTACAGGTTATGGACCTGGAATGTCCGCATGATAGCGAAGCGTGCTATCTACTGAACAACGCATGTGGCAATACCGACTTTTGTGAAAACTGAAGATTATAATGGGTGCGACTTATACAACGGTGCAATTTGTACACCTGAAAATGTGGTATTCTTCATTGTATCTTATAATTAGCGATGCCAGAAGCCTTCTGCAGTGTAAAAAAAGGTAGAGTAAAAAATTTAATGTCTATTTTTTTTACGATGCAAACACCCCAAAGCTTCAGTATCAAGCTCGGGGCGTGTCTGACTTTGCCTCCCTTTTGCAGGCGGTGGTACTCTCCGTACCATGGCTACGCACAGTCCAAGCTTGCTCAGGTGATGTTCACAGAGTCGCTGTCCAGGCATCTGCGCGCTGCGGGTCTCCCGGTGTCGGTCAACTGCGTCCACCCGGGGATTGTGGACACCGACCTTTACCAGATGGTCTCCTGGTCACCCCTCGTGTCTGGACTCTTTTTTCGGGTGAGCGCTAGGCATCCCGCTCGAGTAGAATAGACCACATTACTAGAAGCACCTTCAATGTGTGCGGCCCACAAAAAAGACAAAAAAAAAAGAAAGATTTTTACAATTTCTTGTAATGCCGGATTAGAGTGCAGCTCTTGAAGAAAAGGAAGAGGGGGAGGGTATGCCCCTCCTCCCCTCCCCTCCTGCTCTCCTGCTGCCCTCTCATTTAGCAGGAAATTTTCGCTAAATTTCCTCACTAAAGTTACAGAAAAGCTTTTCCGCTAAATTTCACGTGATGTCACGAGGGTAAAATTGTCCCGTTAGGTTTGGTGGGAAATTTTTCTGCTAAATTTAGTGGGGAAATTTTCCTGCTAAATTTAGTGGGGAAATTTTTCTGCTAAATTTAGCGGAAAAATTTCCCCTCTAAATTTAGCGGGAAAATTTTCACATTATATTTAGTGGAAAAAATGTTCCCGCTAATTTTAGCAGAAAAATTTACCGCCAAATTTAGCGCGGATATTTTATCCTTGTGACTTCACATTTGACGTCATTATGGGAAACATGCCATAATGCAACTCTTGGTTACGGCAACGGCAACGGCAATGGCGACGCTGCTCCACCTGGAATTGGGCGCCTAGGAGCTGCCGTCAAAAAACAAAACCTGGAGTAAGAATTGGGTGACTTGAGTCCCGGCCCTCGAAGTTTGTTGGTTGCATGCGTACACTATCTGCAGGGTGCGCTTCTCTAGCTATCATCATCATTGTTTGTGACGTAGAGGGTAGGAGTAAGATCAGATGGCACAGCAGATTCCCCAGCTTGTCAGCTCGCTTCATCTGTTGTTCACGTGTTTCACATATTATTATTATTTTTTTTTTTATGGAGTTAGATTTGTGAGATTACATTTTATCATAGTTTGAAGATGTGTCAAGCATAGCCGTACTAAACAAACTTTTTGTGCCGAAGGGTCGAAGCCCAGCACTAAAGTGCTAGACAATGGAGATGAATTATTTATAATTAAAAACAAAACAGTGCACAGACGAGGACAAAGTAAAAAGGTAACCGACAGGACACTGCGCTGACTCGCAACTGAAGATTTATTTATGTTAGCATCCAGTATAAGTAGCATACATGCCACACTGAATAAATCGAGGAAAAACACAAATAATGCGTATCACGTGTTCAATACAACACCGTCACTGGCTTGGCCTCCTCATTCCAAGTACTGCCGCTCTTTATCTGAAAGCACGAGCAACGTTTTGACCACTTTTAGTGAGCGCCTTGAACAACTCATCTTGACTCACGAGCTGTCCGTAAATAGCTCCATTAGGTTTATGAGACCTCTGTCTTCACTTTCTTGATACTCGGGCGTGGGTATACGAATCAAGAAGCAACAACCCACTTTTACTGTTTTCATCGGCACACTCTAAACTAATAAAAAGAGGGATAATTAACCTGTGTTTCCAGAATGCACTGGACAAGTCGTGCTCACACCGGGTTGATATAAGTTTTAATAAACAATCTTCGAGACTCCGGACTGCTGGCTATCCATTGTACCTACTAACTGCAGTGGCTGAGACCTTACTAAAGAAAAAGCGTAGTAACTGCACTTTGAAGGCTGTAGACAGGTGAATGAAAATGTCATTGCTGTACCGTACCTTAATGGTATCTCACATAACCCGAAGAAAGTGGGAAGTCGCGTGGGTGTAGAGGTGGTGCTCTCAGCACCAAATAAGCTGGCCGGGCTCTGCAGAAAAGTTAGTTGAGATATTAAAAATAAGATTGGGTGCACTAAAAAGCACCAAAATCAGTTCGTAGCCTGCGCGCAGGGAGTGTTCTATTCCATTCCATTATCTTGCGGCCGTCGTTATGTCGGTCAAAGAGGAAGGTGTGTCAACAATCGGCTCAGGGAACACCGAAATAATGTTTTTAAAGTTGTGTCGGGTCACCTCAAGGTGCACTGCGGAGATCGTGGTTGCGTCCTAGTCTTCGACAAGTGCCAAGTGGTTTTTAAAAATAAAGACAGAGTCACGCGTGAAATTATAAAAGCTTGTGACATCCTGAAACTGGGACCAGATTGTGCTAGCGCCCCGTTGCTTGCGCTTTCAAATAAAAAGCGGCAGTACTTGGAGCGAGGAGGGCAAACCAGTGACGGTGTTGCCTTGAACACGTGATATGCATTTTTTGTGGTTTTCCCTGATTTATTTGGTGTGGCATGTATGCTATTTATACGTGGCTTGCACATGACGTCATTTCCGATGCCATCCAAAGAAAAGGGGAAGAAGGAGCTCCCCCCTTATGAGGATCCTCCTTCGTGCCTCCCGGATTTGCACAGGCGTCGCTATTCTCCTTCCAGAAGATTACAGAAGATTAACCTGTCACTCAAAATTCTTACAAAAACAGCTTCCCTCTCCTCCTTTTACATGGTGTTCAAAAGTATGCGATGTGACATCGGTGCAAGGAGCCTATACTGGATGCCACATAAATAAAGTTTCAGTTGAGAGTCAGCACTGTGTCCTGTCGTTTACCTTCTACTTTGTCCTCGTCTTTGCGCTGTTTTGTTTTTAATTATGTCTGCATACCAACTAGCCCAAACTTCTACATTAACCAGATAAAATATCCAGCACTTTACCTCAGTACAACACCTGCCTTAAAGAACAGGGTGTTTTTTTGTTTTTATTTTTTTTATCCAAACGAGAAGAAATTGAGGAAGGAATAGCTCATCGAGGTGCAAGTGATGGGAGTGCCAAACTCGAAAACATATTGCTTGTGTAGTAAATGCTTCAATGAAAGTGACGTTGTACAGTCGAACCTCGATATAACGAACTTCAATGTAACTAAATCCTCGATTTAACGAAGTATTTCATTTTTCATAATTTCTTGCCTATAGACCCCATGTATTTTTAGTCTCTATATAACGAAGTCTATTTTGCTGCTATTTCAATATAACGAAGCGCCATTGCCATAGAAGGCAACAAATAAATCAACCCTAAAAAACAACTTCGCGAAGAAATTGTGGTTAAAAAGAAAATTATGCGCAAACGCGAGCGCTTGATAGGTTACTTCACGGGGACAGGCCTTCCAACGTTTCTAGGCTGCCCGAGGATGCGGCGCCGGTAGCGCCGGCGAGGCACGCGGCAAAGCGGATTCCGCGGGGCTGGCCAGAAAATGCCGAGCAAAAAGTTAACACGGCATAACAGCATCACCACTGACATTCACTGATCATCATAGTCCACTGTACTGCGGGTAGCGCGGGAGCCAACTTCAGCGGGGGAGCGACGTGATGGCGCGACCGCACGGGCAGTGCCATTAGGAGAAGACCGAGAAGACCGATTATCGTCTTGCGATCGTGATGTAAAGCAAAGGCGCAAGCACATTGTGGGCGCAAGGGGGCAAGTAAACTGTGCGGTCAAGAGTGCTGTGTAGGTTGGAAACATTGGCACCGCCTAAACTAAACAGCTTTATTTTTTAACCGGGCGGTTCACTCATGTGCTTGCTGCCATAAGGAAACGTAAAGTTCTTTCTTTGGATGAGAAAGCAAACGTTTTGGACGCCATCCTGAAGAAACTGCCGAGATCACGAGCACTAGGGAAGTGCTCGACGCAATGGACGTACTGAGGAGGTACACTCTCCGGCAATATGAAAGACCCACTGGTAGCGCGTGGCAGAGGCGGTGGCTGAGGGGGGCGCTGCGCGCGCTTTGGGCAATTCCATGTCGCTCGGAGGGGAGGCCTCACTCGGTGCTCAGCTTTACGCGGCACGCCTGGGAGTATTGTAAAGGAGGCTCGAATGAAGCCTCGTTATCACGGGCGCTTTTATCCATTTTTTTTTGTGCAAATTATCAAATCAAGCACTGCGAAAAAAACAGATTACAGTTATGCTGATGCCCTGTAGCTTTCCCGCCAAACCAAAATAAAAATTTAATCACGTCTCGACGCGGCTCGCCAGCTGGCGCGGCTGAGCACCGAGTGGGCCTCCCTCCGAGCGACTTGGAATTACCCAACGCGCGAGCAGCGTCCCCCTCAGCCACCGCCTCTGCCACGCGCTCCCAGTGGGTTTTTCATATCGCCGGAGAGTGTACACGGTGTCGCATGGGCAGCAAGATGCCGTGCAAGCGCTCTGGGCGCTCGAACGCCGTATGACGCCGCTGCTACTGTCGGACAAGGCGCAAGCAAAACTCGCGGCCTACTTTGCCCCTAAATAAATGTCATTTTCGGTGAGTTTTCATACCCGTAAAATGCTTCGGAATTTTTTTTTTCGCATGCTAAAGCCAAATTTTGATTTAGCGAAATTTCAATGTAACGAAGTAAATTGCGAATTTTACCGACTTCGTTACATCGAGGTTTAACTGTATACCCTTTTGGCTCCAACTTGTTCTGAGAGTGCTAATTGCTTATTCTTCCAAGTTCTTTCTTTTTTTTTTTTTTCTATTTTGCAAATTATTAAACATGTTTCCCCAAAACAACTGGGAAGAGGTGGTGGCTGACTTCCAAAGTCATTTTATTTAAATGACTGCTTATTCAGCATTCAACGCAAAACATGCGAAACCACCTCCGCGATTGACACCTGTAAGATCTACAGTAAGTTGGTAAGGCTTTAGCGTCCCAAAAATGAGTTATACGCCTGTTATGGTTGACGACCGTTTGCAACACCTTATTAAAAATGTGATGGGAATTTCAGCTTCTGCTTCGAGCAGAAGTCATGATGTTGCGAACTTCTTTGCCACACATTTGATTTGGAAGAGAAGGAGCCCACTTCAAAAGAGGCGCAATATCATACATACACTTGCCAGCAACTCATCAATTACGATGGAAGTGTCGACAGCAGCGAGCTTTATATTAGCCAATACGTATGCTGCGCCATGCATCACAACAGGGGGCACGTGCACAACTAAGATGACAACACGCCACTATGGTGATGGCATAATGAATTTTTATTAGTATTCTCCTCATATCCAACAAAAAAGAAATTGGACGCAGTGACGCACGCCGCGCAGGTTGTCATGTCAAGCTGCAGGCTTGTTTTCGAACATTTTAAAGATTTGATTTATTAAAAGTGGCTCAGAGACACTAATTCAGTAGGAAAAAAAACTCCTGGACAGGTCATACGGGCTTTTTAAAATAAATGAAGAGTTATTAGTTGACATAGAAGCGAACTAACCTAACCACTCCGTGCACTTACTTCGCGCATCGTCCGCTTAAATCACACTCAATGCGTCGCTGGAGTGCGCCTGCGAAGTGGCGCCACCGATACATCTCGTTGCCTATAGCCCAGGGCAGTGAAAAGGGAGACACCTTGGTCGGGTGCTAGTCACCACGGCAGACGGCCAAGAGCAGCACCGGAAAATCCAAGCTACCGAACGATTGGACGCGAACGCCGCGTCACCGTTTGGCGAGGCACTCGGCGTTTAAAAAATCTCGTACAAGGTGGCACAACCCGTCGAATTGGCTTCGTTGCTTGGTAGGTGTGAGAAGACCCAGGCGGAAATCGATCCACTTTCAGCTGGATTAGGGAACTGGAAATGAGGCGGTCCAGCTGGATTCCAGCTGGACCACCTCATTTTCGCCTGGGGAGACGACGAGACTGGCATTCGCGAATGGCCGTGGCTGTAGCAGAAAGCGACAGGTCAAGATGACGAGGGCACAGCGGGGAGATCCACAAAAGAAACACAAAAAGTGCCGACTTGCAGCTTTGGTACATTCGTCTTCTGCTTCTTCGCGAGAAGTAGGCATAATGGTACCACGAAAATGAGCAACACTCGTGAAGTTATCACTCTCGTCACTTTGACCCTGTCGTCGCTCAACATTTACAGACACCCACGGAGGGAGCCGAGACAACTCTTTACGCCGCGCTGTCTCCGGCGATGGAAGGGGTCAGCGGCTGCTACCTGGAAGACTGCGCCTTGGCCAGTCCGTCTTGCGAGGCGAGGGATCGGGCATTGCAGGATCGGCTTTGGGAAGTGACGTGGGCTTGCCTACGGCCTTGGCTCGCCGAAACGACGTCATCACTCTTCACCGGGCCGTCGCAGCCTTCCTGAAAGTGACTATGCTGGAACTTTAAACTTGTTGGCCACAGACTCAAGGTGCTGGACAACATTCCACAAACATCGGGAACAACACCGTTGGTGGAACCTGAGGAAGGTGGGACTTGGTTTACTTGAACTCTGTTTTCTTTCTTCTCGGTTGGCTAACTCTGCTCAAAACAACTGTGATACAATTGTTTCAAGTGCAATTCTTTAAGGGGGCGAGGCTGCTCGACGGTGTGGTTTTGTAGTGTCAGCAACCTAAATATTGCGAGCCTCATAGTTACAAATGAAACCTTGCAACACCTTTTTAATTTCTTCCAGTGGGGTGGGGGAGCCTAAATATTTTTGAAGGAACCATGTTTGTTCGTTGTTATGTTATTTCCATTTAATCATTTTGTTCTGTGCCAGGTAGTTGGCTAAAATGCATCTGTCTGGTTCTAATTTTTGTTCCTTTAGTCTGAATAAAGTATTATCACTGTTTCATGATGTGAAGCTTGGCTACTGAATAGATGACTTGTCCAAGATGGAGATCCGGTGAAATTTTGACAACACATTAATAGAAACGGTCCAAAAGTTTACTTGGAACAAAGACATAACAAAAAGATAATGCTTTGCCACCTATGCAGGTGGCATCTTCAGTATGAAGTGAGGAATGAGGTGAGAGTGCCAGCAACTACTTATCGTCCTTGTAAGTGGGAGTATAAACTTTTTGCATTAATAGCCACATTTGAACTATACACCAACTCAACTCTCCTACGTCACGCCGCGGTGGTGGCGCACCGGACGCACTTACGGTCTCGGGCGGTGGGCAGAAGTCGCCGTGCCAGACATGCATTCCTGTGTTCTTTTGGAAGAAACGAGACAAAAAACCTGCCTTCTCGTCAAAATGCTGCGATGGGGGCTTTACCAAGAGAGTCTGGGAAGGTTTGAAGATCAGTTTTCATGTGTTTTTGCACCCTCCGTTCGTCCGAGAACGTGGATAGCAGCCGTGAAAAGGGCAAACCTGACGCTGTCGAACTACGATTGCGTGTGCGGGCCACAATTTGTAGTCGCCAGATGTATTTGCTTTATTTCAACATGACCGAGAGAAAAACCCCAAGTTGTCCGGACCACCCACGGATTCAGTGCGTCTTCAAATTCACACGGCCGCCTGATCGTTCAAACTTTCGTCTGCTCTTTCAAAGTTGTCTGCTTTTTGTCGTCTGCTCGTTCAAACAAAAGCGGCCCGTAGACCAAAGTTTGACCCGGTGATTGCAATAAGAAGTAATTGCAGGCCTCAAAAGACTTAAGTAGGCTCGGTGTAAACAGTACATACATGTTAATTATTGGTACCGGTGGCCATCACCTACTTGTTACGCTTTGTCTGTTCCCGCTTCCGATTTTCAGTATCGATGTCGATCATCGCCGCTACCTTTTACACTTTTGCAGCACGAGCGACGTCGCGACCGAAAATAGCTACAAGAATCTCATCATGGTTTTGGCGTCCATTCTGCAGCAATCATGCGAATGAATCGCCGCACGTCAAATTACTTAGGGAAAGTTTAGCGGCGTAACGAACCTCGATCATTTCGCTCAGGCGATTGAAGTGGTAAGACATTGCGATGAGGACGTAGAATCGACAACTCCAACGCGAAAAAGAGTATGCAGACTCACACAGACGCCGACAACGTGACATTCGAATGGTTTGTTGACGCGGGACGCGGTGCTTCTTGCCCGTACTCCATTGCGCGTGCGTTCGAACTGTCGTCTGCTCTTTCAAACTTGGCTGCTTTTTGTCGTTAGTTCGTTCAAACGACAGCGGCTCGTAAACCAAACGTTGACCCGGTAATTGCGATAAGAACTAAGTGCAGGCCTCAAAACATTTTTGAAGGTTGGTTGGGGTAAGTCGGCTAAGTGTAAACAGATACAAGAAGTTGTTGATCATTGTTACCAGTAGCCATCACCGACTTGTATTGCCCGATTCTACTTGAGGTTTTCAGTATCGATGTCCACCATCTCAGCTACGGTCCACGCTTTTGCAGTCCGAGCGACGTCGCGACTGAAAATAGCGAGCAGAATCTCGACGTGGGAGTCAGGCTTTAGCGCCCATTCTGCGGCGTCCACGTGAAATGAATCGCCGCACGTCACATTATCCACGCAAAGTTTTGCCTCGATAGTTTTGCTGAAGCCGCTCAAGTAGTCAGACAATGTTAGGAGGACGTAGAATCAACAATTCCAACGCGAAAAACAGCACGGGGACTCCCACCGACGCCGACAACAAGGCAATTCAATGGTCTGTTTATGGGCGACGGCAGACTTCTTGCCCACCATCCACGGCGCATGCACGGCGCCGGTGACGTCCGCTAGGGGCGCTCCGGTTTGTTTGTAAACATGAGTTGGTGTATAGTCGGTGTCCAGTTGAGAGTTTAGGGGAAGCGCTAGTCCGTCTTCGTGCTCGTGTCCGTGTCTGTCCTTGGCACTATTTATTCTTTATGCGTATCAAACTAGCCCACCTTATTATTTGAGTACACCTCTTTCCACTTTAGCAGAGTGAAAGCTGGAGTGGATGGAGGTGACCTCCTCTCCAGTGCTTGCTCTGCTGAAGTGAGGTGGGAGGAGCTTCCCTAAAATAAGGCACAATAATTTTTTTTTTTTTCGAAGCTTCAAACGCAACGATTTACGGCATGCGTCTCTGCTTTTGAGAGAGTGCTTCAGTGTTGCCCGACTGTGCTGGGCTGTGGGTTTTCTCGTCAGTGGGCTGTGGTAACCTGCATAGGCGCAATTCTGGACACTGGTGGTGGCTAAATTGCTGCGTTTTATTGTTTATTGTGTTTTATGGCGAAGGGAATTCCTGCAGTCTTTTAAGATAGCATTTCATCATTTTTTGGAACCGAAACAAACAAAAGCTATTTTTGGTGAGTCCCTGCACGACAGGACAAAATCAAATGCCACTGGAATGTTTGTCTCATTCGAGCGCTCTCTGTTTTATTCAGCCAACGTGCGAAAAATCTTGGAGGCGAAGTGCGTTTTGGGTAGTTCCACGAGCCGCCACTTCATAAGTACAAAAGTGGTGCTGTGGTCAGGAGATACCAGATAGTGGAAGAGTTCGGCCAATGCATATTCGCGTGGTCAAAGTGTAACTGCCATGAAACGTGAACTTAACTGGCAGCCTCTACTGAATCGTCGTAAATGCTTCCGCCTGAAACTCCTTCACAGCATATAGTATTACGATCAGTGTGGAATCGACAAAACGCAACATTTACTTCCACCTCACTTCATCTCTCGGCGCCTGGGTCACAGCAGAAAAATTAGGCCTTTTACCAGCAAAACAGACGTTTACAAATACTCATTTTTTCCTTGCACAATACTCAACTGGAACCAGTTACCTGAAGAGATTGTCTCAACAAACGTAAGCTCTCAATTTTATGACGCATTGTCAGATTCTTAAAACTTGTTATTCCTACAAACTTCAGCTTTGTCTGTATATATTCACGAGTGCAGTGTCTAGCTTTACGCTGGTTTGGGTTTTCGTTTGTTTTTATTTTCATGTTAATTGCTCCGGGTAAGTCACCTTTTGAGTTTTGACTGTTTAAGCAATTAAGTGTTTTTTGGCGTCACGTTCATTTTGTATTTGCCCATCCCCCACTACAATGCCCTCACGGGCGCTGTGGGGTTATTTCCATAAATAAATAAAATTTAAAAAAAACTGGTATGGCCTGCTTGACAGCTTGCCAACTACATCACTGACACGTCACGCGAAAGCCATGGCCACGCCCCAGTTCGCCATCTTCGGGCCCAGCCGACGTTGGGGACCTGTAACTCTGTGCTTGGCTCTCGGATTCCTTAAACGTATGACTGTTTTATTCTGGTTTAAATCAACCATTAGCAGTATTTATGCTGTCTTGCGTTTATTCAGGAACCACAGTAAGTTAGTTCCCGGTTACCTTATCAGTTTTCCCTCCATATGCGCGTCAACATCAGCCCGTTCATGCGCTCGGAGCGCCGGGCATATTTAGATTTGTTTCAGTCGACATCCTCGAAAGGCCCGTCAAAACAGGATGCTTCCGACATGAGTGATGCGGCAATCCTCTTCCGTCTGTATTTTTTTTTGTTTGGGGGGGGGGGGGGGGGGGATTTTTTTTTAATATTTCGCCCGTGTTCTCCGTGTTGAGCATGCTGATCTTGTGAGCCCGGACAGCTACTCACTATCTCTGTTGGCTGTTGCAACGTTGCGAAAACACTCAGCTGGGAAACTCGCCCTTGAAACCGCTGGTGGACGCCAGCGGTCTCGGTGGCCGCTGGCGTCCACCTTGACCGAGCTAAATACGATAACAGCGCCATCCTTTAGTGATGAGTTGAAACATGAAAGTTGCTTGCGAGATGGCGCCACCGGCCCTTGCCCGACTCGACGTGCAGCCGTGCAGTTCCCGGAGTGGACGCTGCGGCAGAAATGGCGGCGTTGCAATCGCCATTAGCTCGGTTCTCGAGTACGGATCGGAGCCACTTTTTTAAAGCAGGCTCTATGGCAGTTTCCCAACTGACTGGTTCTAGTAACGTTGGCTGTTGGTCAATCGCTCTAGGCCTCCGCTGCTCTTCACGTTTCGAAAACGGGAAAATGAAGGGCTGTGTTCGAAATCTTACCCAAGTAGATCCGAGCTACTCCGGCGGGTCGTGTTACGTCATAACACAGGAGCGACTCTGACCGCGGGTAGGTTTTCGAACGCAATGGGAGAAGATCGTTGCCCTGGAGTAAGAAAGAGAAAATTCTGGAACACGGCCAAGAATACGAGGGCCCGGCAGAACAGACGGACAGCAGCCGAGGAAGCGAGGAGGAAAATCGCGATGTTTGCTTGGTGATATATGTGGTGTTCAAACAGACTGCCGGACGGTTCAACTTTCCCGTTTTTTGTTGGAGTCATGTCGCCTCACGATTTCTGAAGTGTCCTGGTTGGACAGGTTTAATTCGCACCAGACGAACTTTCGGTAGAATTTTCGGGTCGGCGAGCCTAGACAGTGGTAAATGCATTACAGGATGCCGTCGACATCCAAAAACGTACGTTTAAAAAGAAACAAATTTCCCCTTAGAATGTAAAAGGAGCCATTCGCTCGAATTGTTAGTTTTACGGAACTTTGTTTCTTTTTAATTTCCTCACAATCACACGTCAGCATGTCATATCGCATTGCCTGCTTGAGGAGAGGATCCTTATATGGGATGATCAAGCCGACGAAGCCGAAAGGTCGTAAATAAACTTTGGGCAACTCAGTGTTAGACGACTCCCCGCAAATAGTAAGCTAGCTCGTTTTGATATAATTTTAATTCAACTGTTCTTATAGTGTTGAGAATCCAGCATCCATCATCATGCCTGCACATCAAAATTAACGAGACAAACTAATGAACGAACTAGCTTTTTCACGCATAAAATTACATTTATTGAGTCATTAATCTAAATTAATTTCGGTCTTTTGGGGAGGAAGGCGGGGGAAATAAGCTGCGCAACGTGT